ATGTACTTATATAAATGCTATCAAGAAAGTAAACCAGTAACAGAGTGACTCTAGGTTGTATTGTCAAGGAAGATCTTGAGGAAATGATGCTTGAAGTGACATCTTGAGGCATATTGATTATACTATTAATGTAAATCAAATAGGTATATAAAATATATATTGATGTATCCATCAATAAATATGTGGACATTTGCAGTATGGTTAATGAATGTCTTTGAGTTCAATAATAACAAAATCCCTGATTTAATTCCTGTATCTGAAAAGGTCAGTGGGAAAACTTCATGACATAATACGGTTCTTTGCATGAATCACTTCCATAAGTGAAACCTCTATCATGGTTATTTTTATTTATTTTATTTACTTTTAAAAGTAAATAAATAAAAGCTACCAGAAATCAGGAAGTAGCTTCTTAGCTGCATATTTTAGCTGTGAAATACAGTATTAAATTATTTAAGGAATTCTATGAATCAAAGTTATTTTATTATAAATTCTTTTGAATATTTAATAAAATAGTTCAATTTAACATAGTTCAATATTATGCACTTGTATAGATATTTTTTATTCAAGTATAATTAACATACAGTGTGTATCATTTTCAGATGTACAATATAATGATTCAACAATTCTATACACTTTTTAGTGCTCATCAAAATAAATACACTCTTATTCCACCATCACCTCACCTACCTCCCCTCATTTTTTCACATATGGATAATCAGATTTGCTAGCATCATTTGCTGGAAAGTCAGTCCTTCCTCCTCTCCTAATCTGCAGAGACGCTTTTGTCATAATTGCCTGTATCTGTGCACCTGTCTCTGGGATCTTTTTCTCTTTTATTGGTCTATCATTGTTACACAGATACTATTCTGCTTTAAATCAGATAGCTTTCCAGTAAATTTTGATATCTGGTCTAAAAAAATAGTTAAAACTCTAACATATTTTATGTAAACCGCAAGCCACAACAAAAAGTATGTATAGAAATTACACACACACAAGAGAAAAAAATCAAAGCATACCAAAGCAAAAAATCCGCAAAACACAAAAGTAGACATCAAGAGAAAGAATCCAGATAAAAGAATGAGACTAACAGAAAGGAACAAAATGGCAACAGTAAATCCTTCTCTATCAGTAATTACTTTAAATGTAAATAATTAAACTTTAAAAAGACATTGAGTGCTAGAATGGGTAAACAAACAGACAGACAAAGCCCAAGACCCAACTGTATGCTTTCTAGAATAAACTCACTTTAGCTATAAGGACACACACAAGCTGAAAGTGAAAACTTAGAAAAAGATATTTCATGCAAATGGTAAATAAAAGAGAGCAGAGGTGGCTATATTTATATCAGATAAGATAGCCTTTAAGTCAAAAACGGTCTCAAGAGACAAAGAAGGACATTATATAATGATAAAAAGATCAATTGAGAACATGTAACAGTTATAAATATATATGCACCCAACATTTAGAGCACCCAAATATATAAAACAAGCATTGACAGAGAGGAGAACTAGAACAGCAACACAATAGTAGGAGACTTCACTACCCCACTTCCAGCAACAGATGGAACATCCAGACAGAATATCAATAAGGAAAACAACAGACGTGAACATACTTTAGACCAAATGAACCTAACAGACATATAGAGAGTGCTCCACTCAATAGCAGCAAAACATACATCTTCTCAAGCACACAGAGAACATTCTCCAGCATAGATTACATGTTAGGTCACAAAATAAATCTTATAACATTTAAGACTGAAATGATACTAAGTGTCTTCTCTGATGACAAAGGAATGAAATTACAAACCAGCAGCAGAAGGGAAACGGGAAAATTCACAAATATATAGACATTAAACAAGTTCTCTACAGGAGAGAAGATAAAATGTATCAGATATTTTTGGAGCTGAGAGCTTTGGGCAACAATGGGCAGAGCGAATTATTAAAAATATAGTTTTCTAAGTCTTAGTAAATAGTCACGTGTATAATATGAATAAGTACAAGTCTTACCAGAATGACCTCATATTCCTGGTAGTTTTATACTAATGTGTCTGAAAAAGACTGATAATAAAGTATATGTGGTGTTCATTGGGATATTTGACAAAAATCTACCATAATACCAACCTGTCTGAAAGAAATTTTATTTAGGTTAGGTGTCATTAGTTGGGAGAGAGATCATTTGCTATATGCCAAATGTATTGTCTTTGGTCTCATCAGGTCCCACATTTTAAGAAAGAGAAAGACAAGTATCATATGATCTCACTGATATGAGGAATTTGAGAAACAAGACAGAGGCTCATAGGGGAAGGGAGGGAAAAATGAAACAAGGTGAAACCAGAGAGGGAGACAAACCATAAGAGACTCTTAATCTCAGGAAACAAACTGAGGGTTGCTGGAGTGGGGGGGGTGGGAGGGATGGGGTGGCTGGGTGATGGACATTGGGGAGGGTATGGGCTATGGTGAGCGCTGTGAATTGTGCAAGACTGATGAATCACAGACCTGTGCCCCTGAAACAAATAATACAGTATATGTTAATAAAAAATTAAAAAAAGAATGCTTCAATTAACTTAACGAATTTGTAGATGGCACACAACTTGGATAGCTAATGCACTGAGTGACAGAGTCATACAATCCAAACACTCTGAAATTCAGAGAAAATGAAGAGTCTGACAAGATGAATCTTTTAAGTTTGTACTAAATATAAACTGAAAGTAATGGGGTGGGGAGAATTGTCTTAATTTACAGAGGCTCAAAAAAGCACAAGGGGAGGTTCAGTGGCCACGTTCTTTACTTCCACAAATGATTTTTGCGTTTAGTGTAATTACTGGCTTCTAGCTCATCGGAAACTTGATAATGTTCCTTATTAGAACAGTCTTCTTTTTGGGCATTAGAAGCTCTAAACCTGACAAAAACAAGATCTTGGGTGAAATAATTGATGGGGATTAAGGACCACACTTGTGATGAGCACTGGGTGATGTAAGGAAGTGTTGAATCACTAATATTGTACACCTGAAACTAATATTACCCTGTGTGTTAACTGTACTGGAATTTAAATAAAAACTTAAAAAATATGAAATGTAAAAAACCCCACCAAGATCTTAGGTAAAGGAAGCAATTTCTTCATGTGGATTATAAGGTGTAATAACGGGAGGGGGGCACGTTGCAGTTGAATCCTCACTCCATGTTTTGATTCACAGACCTGTACATTCTGTCTATGGCACCACCTGGTGTCACCAGTGTGCCTCCAGAAAGTCATTTCAGCACCCTGCCCAGCAGGTTGCTTATGGATAAATAAATTCTTCAGGCGTGAACTGATTACCAGACTTTCTTTTCTGCAAAATGTCAAATGCCAGGATGTGTAGAAAATCATGACAGCAAAGAAGACATTCTGTAACTTTGTGAATGGTGATGCTAGCAGAAGCATCGCAGGTAGAGAAGTCAAATCTACTCCTAAAATGTGTGATTATTCCTGTGAACACAAAGCACTATCCAGTGCATGATGGAAGATTCTTAAGTAATAAATCTGCCGTCAGGAGGTTGGCTGGTTTCCCTCTGAAATTGTGCTCTGCTTTGGTCTCTGCCTTTGACAGGTTGGGCATTTGGCAGAGGTTTTAGCAAAATCAGCCATGATGGGGGAGGACCTTATTATCTGAACTGATAACTTCCATCCTTACTATCCCTGATCATTTTACAGGTGCCCATTTAATAAGGTCCAGGATGTCTGAGGAAAGAGGCTGACTGACATCCACAGGATAGGTCACTTTGTCCACCCAGTTATTGATAAATACACCAAAAGTTGAAGACTCTTGGTGAAAAATGTGTAGCAGGAAAATAATAGGAATTTTTAGCCAAAATTGTGCTGTGCAAGTATCGAATGTAATTATCATTAAGTCACTACTAAACTCAAAAGGCTGATTTTTGCACCTCCAGCTCGGCTGTCCACCTTCTACAGCTCATTCTCTGCCCTGGAAGATTGGCCTGGGGAGACAAACTGGCCGCGTGGCTTCCACATACTGACTTAGGGGCAGGAAAGCAGAGGAATGAGATAGGAGTCAGGCTAAGGGGCCCCGGCCCCCTTCGTGAGAGCAGGACTGGTCATGTTCCAGGCAGGGGTGCCCGCTCTACTCAGCTCTTTCCTCAGTCTTCTGCCCCCTCACCAGTGAAGTCTTCTGGTGGAAAGCTTTCGGTTTCTGTTCTCCATTTGCTACAATGACCAAAGATTTGGGATTTAAGTGTCAAACTTTTAAACTTTATCTCAACTTATAAAATTAGTATTTCCGGAATTATATTACTCTTTTGAGACTGGCCTTGAGGGAACTTTTTAGTGTGATAAGAAAGTGCCAAAACTGGATTTGGGTGGTGGTTGCACACATCTGTATATTTGCTAAAAATCAGCTAATCACGTACTTACAATGAGTGAATTTTATGGTATATAAAGTAGACCTCAATTAAAGCTGAGGAAAAAATCGGAAATTTCTGGTCTGCCTCGTGAATATTGGGCATTCTCTTCAAATACCAGAAAAAGTAATTGAAAATATGGTTTCTTTCTCAAGTTCTCCCCACTCCCTGATTTTTTTTAAAGATGTCTTTAGAATGCCAAAAATTGCCACTGTTTATACTATTAAATTATTAGCATGACTTGTAATCAATGTTGTTGTAGGATCAGGAAATTTAACTGTTAGGTAATTACAAGTTATTATATTAAATCAAATATCACTATATTAAGAAGTGTAATTGAAAATTCACATATTTTGGCTAAACCAAAAACACCTATGTATCATGTAACTCAACTCTAAAAGGAGTACAATTTCCATTTCCCTGACTTTATGGGTTAATCAGGAAACATTTTTTAAAGAACCACATATGATATTAAATTCAATATGTCGTGGACAGTTGAGAAATCATGTGTTATCTAGGTCATGAGAAATAAACTTAAAAAAAAAAAGAAAACATTTCCTCTGAGGTTTTCACCAATAGATGAAACTCTGCACCCTTGTTTGTACCCTGAGCGGACAATTTGAGGACTAGTTCTGATTAACAGCAGACTTATTATTTTTCGTATTACGTATCATACTTAAAAAAACAAAACGTACATATATACACACATATATTCACCCACATTGAAGATGCAAGATGAAGAAAGATACATGACATTGAATTTACAATTGAAAAAAAGGAGTTCTAGCCAAACATCCCAACTTAAATTTAAAGGTATGGAATTCAGTTTTTTTTTTAATTGGCGTGGGTTAATAGGGGTATGGATTTAATATTAATATTAATACGAACATGAATGTGGACAGTAATTTCTAATATTCTGTTCTTTACTGTTCCTGGACTATTTTATTTGCTTTTCTCTCTCTGTCTCTGTCTCATCTTCCTGTCTCTCTGTTCGTCTGTCTCTCTATTATTTATCAAAGCGAGGGCTAACAATTATTTGCTTATTTTATTTTTTAAAGATTTTATTTATTTATTTGATGGAGAGAGAGAGAGCACAAGCAGGGGGAGTGGGAGAGGGAGAAGCAGGCTTCCCACTGAGCAAGGAGCCCGATGTGGGGCTTGATCCCATGACCCTGGGATCATGACCTGAGCCAAAGGCAGACGCCCAGCGACTGAGCCATCCAGGTGCCCCAAATTGTTTGCTTGTAAAGTAACATTTGGTGTCATATAATTTCCTAAGGACATTCTCAGGAAAAATACACAATCAGTTAAAATTAATAAAATTAAAATGCAGATTTAGTGCCAGTCATCAACCTCCTTATCATTCATAAAAATGGCATCTTTAGTACTAGTTTTTAATTCAGCATGTCAACAACGTTAAAATATGTTTCTCACTAGGTGGAAAATTTTGTTTTGGAAAGTAGAGATACTAACCTGAAAGACCACAAAATGTAATGGCTCTTCTGTGTAAACTTTTTTTCACACTCAGTTTGTAGATGCCACTCTGAAACCAAAATGTGTTTTGGTTCAGGAAAGGATCTCAGGAGGCTGCAAATAATAAATGTGCAACCCCAGCTATTTAAGTGGCATATTAATATTCATCCTTTACCAATGTATCCTCTGCTAATAGTAAAATTTGCTACTATTTAGTAAAGCTTGCGGTATGATACACATTCGAATCTAATTGACAATTTAAGCCCTGTCATTATACACAGGGCTTTTACTTAACTCTGTGATTATATATTTGTATATTTTTTCTCATGTCTTGGTGCTAATGAAAATAAGAAAGTACATTTTTTGCCACTATCTAAAGCTTCAGTATTCAGGTATAGTATTACTAATAATATAACTACTTAAAGCAGATTGAAATGTTTTTGCAGGGGTTTTTTGTCCTTAGTATATATTCCATCAGGCAAGCACAGTCAAATTATGCTTTAAAATTGCTTGGGGGTGCCTGGGTGGCTCAGTCAGTTAAGCATCTGCCTTCAGCTCAGGTCATTATCTCAGGGTCCTGGGATTGAGCCGCGCCACCCTCCTCATTAGGGGATCTGCTTCTCCCTCTCCCTTCGCCTCTCCCCACCTGCTTGTGCATGCACGCAAACTCTCTCTCTCACAAATAGATAAAATCTTTTAAAAAAATTAAAAATAAAAAAATAAAATTGCTTGAAAGACTTCCTCTCTATGGGTTAGGACCCTTTCTTTACTTCATATTCCATTTTATTTTTAGGGATCGCTTTTTTTTTTCATTTTGACTTACTTATTTTATAATTATGTATAAGTATACATCTTATGCAATCGTAACAATATACACAATGCCTATTATATATTAGAATCATTTTATAATTATTTAAAACATTTATATATTTTCAAAGTCAAACCTATATAGCAAGGTACTTCCAGAGATCTCCAGCTCCCAAAGATCCAGCTTCTGTCTTGTTTTCACCCTGCTCTCTCCTTCCCACACATTTTAATCCTGTATACAGTGTAATATTTCTCTATTAAGTGGATGTACCATAGTTCATTCAACTAGTTTCATTACTGGACACAAGATGTTTGCATTCTTTTTCTATTATATCCCTATTGTAAATAACATTGCAATGCTTGCACGTACGTCTTTTCCTATATTGCCAATATGTCACTGGGATGTATTCCTAGAAGAAAGATTGCTGGCTCCAATGTACATGCTTATATAATTTTGCTAGTTTTCCCCCAAATATCCCTCCACAGGATTGTACCATTCTATGCCACGATGAACATGAGCGCAAGCATCTTTTTGAAATACTGATTTCAATTATTTTGGATATACCCAGAAATGCAATTGCTGGATCATATGGTAGCTCTATTTTTTAATTCTTTGAGGGACTGCCATACTGTTTCCCATAGTGACTGCAACATCTTACATTTTCACCAACAGTATGCAAGGGTTGAATGTTCTCCGCACCCTCATCAAAACCAGTTATCTGTTTTTGATAGTAGCCATTCTGTCAGACGTGAAGTGATATCTCATTATGGTTTTGTTTGCATTTCCCCGATGATTAGTGCTGTGAAGTAACTTTTCAGATACTTGGCCATTTGTAGGTCTTCTTTGGAAAACTGTCTATTCAAATCCCCTGCCCATTTTAAAATAAGACTGCTTGTTTTTCTAATTGAGTTGTGTAAGTTGTAAGAGTTCTTTATATATTTTGGATGTTGACCCTTTAGCAGAGAGTTATATAATTTTCAAATATTTTCTCCCTCTAGTTTGCCCTTTTTTCTAGTTCCTTGAGGTTTAAATTTAGATGGTTTATTTGAGATCTTTCTTTTTTTTTAAATAAAGCTTTTTTTTAAGATTTTATTTATTTATTTGACAGAAAGAGAGAGAGAGCACAAGCAGGGGGAGTGGCAGGCAGAGGGAGAGGGAGAAGCAGGCTCCCCGCGGAGCAGGGAGCCAGATGCGGGGCTTGATCCCAGGACCCTGGGATCATGACCCGAGGTGAAGGCAGACACTTAACCGACTGAGCCACCCAGGCGCCCCTGAGATCTTTCTTTTAATGTAAATGTAGTTATTTATGGCTATAAAGTTCTCTCTTACAAGTGCTTTTGTTGCATACTTTAAGTTTTATGTTGTATTTTCGTGGTTGTTTCAAGATTTTTTTAAATTTCCATTTTGGTTTCTTCTTTGACTTGTTAGTTTTTCGGGACTCTGTTGCTTTATTTGACATATTTGTAAATTCTCCAGTTATCCTGCTGTCTTGATTTGTAGTGTCATACCCTTGTCATTGGAAAAAAAATCCTTGGCATGATCTCAGTCTTCTTAAATTTGCCATGACTTGTTTTGTAACTTATCATATGATCTATACTGGAGAATGTTCTGAGAAGGATGTGTATTCTGCCGTTGTTGGATGGAATGTTCTCTGTATATCTGGTAGGTCCGTTTGGTTTAAAGTAATAGTTCAAATCCCAGATTTTTGTAGTGATTTTTTGTTTGGATGATCTATCGTTACTGAATGTGAGGTATTGAAGTCCCCTGTTATTAGTGCATTGCTATTTCTCCCTTTCACATCTGTTAATATTTGTTTAATGTATTTAGCTACTTTGGTGTTGGGTGCATATATATTTATGATTATTATATCCTCTTGATAAATTGACCCCTTTATCATTATATAATAACCTTCTTTGTCTCTTGTTACAGTTTTTGACTTAAACTCTACATTGTCTTATGTAAGTATAGCCACCTCTGCTTTTTTTTAATTTCCATTTGCATGGAATATCTTTTTCTATGCCTTCTCTTTAAGCCTACCTGTATCCTTAAAGATGAAGTGGGTCTCTTGTATACAGCATGTAGTTGTGTCCTGTTTTGTTTTTTTAATCTCTCCAGCCACTCGGTGTCTTTTGATTAGAGTATTGAATCCATTTAGAATTAGAATAATTCTTCATACAAAAAAACTTACTAATGCCATCTTATTACCTGTTATTTGGCTGTTTTGTAATTCCCGTATTCCTTTCTCCTTCTCTTTCTGTTTTCCTTTGTGAATTGATTTTTCATAGTGGTATGCTTTGATTCCCTTTTCTTTTAATGTGTGCATCTGCTGTAGGTTTTTCTTTGTGGTTACCATGAGGCTTATATAAAACATCTTATAGAGATGAGTCTATTTTACACTGATAACAACTTAACTTCAATTGCATACAAAAACTCTACTTTTTTAATGCCTGCCTTCTATGTTTTTGATGTCACGATTTACCTCTTTTTATATTGTGTATTCATTAGCAAATTATTGTATCTATAGTTACTTTTAAGAATATTTTCTTTTAACCTTTATACTAGAGTTAATTAATTTTTTCCCAAACTTTTGTGGAAAACTTCCAGCATTTCTCAATTAACTTAATTAGACAAAAAAAAACTGTTGTGCATATTAAACAAGTACCCATCAATTCCTGCTTTATTTTCTAACATAAAGTTGTTGGATTTTATCAATTGCACTTTCTACATCTATTGGGATGATGATACATTTCTCTCTAGCTCTATTAATAAGATAAAATGAATTTCTTACTATTGAACAACCCGTATATTCCTAGAATAAACCCACCATGGTCAAGGTATGTTTTGGCTACTATTAGTATATTTAAGATTTTTGTATGGACATTTAGGAGCGACTGATTGTAGGGCTTTTTGTTTTTAAATTATTTTTATTTTTATTTTCTGATACTAAAAGATTGGTAAGTTAAATTCTGTACAGGAGAATTCTCTACAACTTCTCTACAGGAGAAAACACAGGGTAATGAAAATGTTATTTCCTCCAAAATTATAAGCCTTAATATGCCTCAAATTCATACTGTAAAGCTCAATTCATGATACCTGGGAGAAATAATTGAGTCTGAATTGAATCTGAAAAGGCTTCCACATCCTTTCTCCTAATGTTTTCTGATAATCATGTGTTTGATTTTTTTAAGTGAATAAATGGCATTTTTTACATGTGCTGAACACTTTGAATTTATTGATTATAAATTTAATATATTAAAATATTAGAAAATAATCTGGGAAATGCAGGGTATTCATTAATTGAATTATAATAAGTCATATTTTATGATCTTTGTCAATACTATAAGATAAAAACTGTGTACTAGTTCTCTGACATAGTGTTTTATATGATTTATTATGCTTTTTCTTGACAGAGTTTAGCATCTTCAAATGTGTTTTTTTTTTAATTCCTGCAGGTTTAAAGGGTATTTGGAACACAAATTTCAGTATTAATAACTCAATTTATTGACTGAACTCTAAGTTTAATCATAGTTATGGGGAGTGGCTCCATATTAATTATTGTGATGCATTTATAAAAATTATCTTTGATGACATAAACTATTATGCAAAATATAGATGTTCATTTACTCAGTATAAACTACTCATACAATTCCATAAGCTAAGTCCTTTTTATTTTTTATTTTTTTCTTTGTCCAATCTTTTTAATAACATGCACAACAAAAAATAAGTATCATTAGTGCCACTTAGCACTTGCATTAACAGTTATTTATCTTTAAGTTATAAAATCAATAGTTCATTCAAATTTAGTTTCCCTGTACTTTTTGCCCAATTCACATGAGAGCAATGTATTTTTTAAAAATCATAATGACATAAAATTTTATCCAAGGTTGCAGTCTTCCATGCCGTCTTCTTCACACATCACGTCTAGAAAATGAACTTCATATGCTTGATTCCATAAGTTTTGAAGAAAACCATTACAATGAGTGCCCACAATCCCAGAATAAAACCCCCAGGAGGATGTGAATCTTTCAGCTTTGGTTTCTGGTGAATTATCTGAGCTACAGGAAGTTGTTCAGCACATTTCAGTGGTTCCATGAGTTCCTCATCCATCCAGTCTTTCTTATATCTGCTTTCCATGATTTCTAAATCTGTTTGCAAACTAATAGTCTCTCTTATAATTTCCACTTTCTGTTTGCTTCCAAAAAAATCAGTTATCAGGACATTTTTAGGATCCTTCTGAAAAAGATCAATTCAATGTCCAGGGGTAGACACACAGAGACTTCTAGGACATACCTGAAAAAGGTCATTCATATTAGTTTGTCTAGCTGGATTAATTTCTTCCAAAAATTCCAAGACATAAAATGTGTATCTATCCATAAGGTGGACTCCAATTGCAGGATCAGGTTGATGCGAGAGTGAATCTTCTCCCACTTGGCTACTAGCTAAAGCCATTATGTTAGGAGAATAGAATCATTCATACATGGGTGCTCCTTGACACGTATCAATAATAAACAGTAACTCGTTGTAGCGTCTTTTTTGCCACATTTGCTCAAAAGCATCTGCAAGTTCTATGTTGGTAATTTCTTCAGAATCTTGAAATTTCAAGAAACCATTTCCACCATGTCCTGTCATATAAATAAGAATATCGCTTCTATCATCAGAAAGAAGACGTTTTGACTGAGGAGTACTAGGTGGGATCCTGCCAGTTAATATCCGTAAAAAATTCTCCACAGTTACCTCATAACTTCTATAACTCACTTCCACATCATCTCACACACATTTAGTTCCATATTCTTGTGACTAAACACCGTAGCTGGTTTGGGACTTCTAGGGTTGTATGCCATGTTGTCTGCAAGCATCATAACAATATGACTGTCAGGAACATCCCGCCTCTTGACACTTCTGTAAACGGAGAGAGTATTTGCAACATGCTGATAATTAAACCAGAACCGGGATGTACATACCAAAACAGCCCAGTTGTTTGTATGGCCAATTCTAAAGAACTGTTCTGCTTGATCTTCGATCTGACTAGCGGCCAGGGTGCCGAAGGACAAAAGCAACAACCCTGCCAAGGTAGTGAAACCCTTGTTGAGGAAGCAGGCGGCCACCATGTTTCCTGGCTTCAGCTTCCCTAAGCTAAGTTCTTTTTAATGAGGTTGAGAAAAATAGCAACATATATACTTGAAGCCTTGGGTGAGACTATTTACTTTCTCTATTATGATATCCATTTGTTCATTAATAGCCATCACTGAATGCACATTTTATCTCTAACATAGCAGTGTGGGCATATGAAAAATAAAACAGTCATCACTCTTAAAGAGTTCACCATCTAATGAGAAGCTGGAACATCATTATTGCATTGGTTAGAAAAGATTTTAGGATTTTTTTAGGTTAAAAGAACAAGTATCAGGAGTCATATTTAGTTCTGATTTGTATTACATCCTTAGTAAATGAAATAGGTTGAATGACTTGTGAATATTACCTTAAAGCAAATTATTAATTAGAAAGTATATAGTTATGTGAATATATACGTGTGTATCTGTAAGTGCACATGAGCATGTGTATGTGCATGCGCATGCATGCTTGGGGAATTATTAGGTGTGTACATTAAAATTCTTTATCCACTAGGTCAATTATGTCAAATATTAGCAATTTCCTAAGATTCAATATAACATGCATCATAACTGCTCTCCATCTGCAGTATTACCATTACCAAGTAAAATAGGTAATTTAGGTTTTATGCTTTTGATTGCCTACTACCCTTTAAATTTCAAAACCAATATTATATGCAATCTTATTATTACAGTTGCTTTTACTTCTTGGAAATGTACTTTTCTGAGCTAATTCATGTGATTAATCTCTCAGATTGTTCTGTGATGTTGCACTGGTATAAAATCTTATTGGGGATATCTGGAACAGTAAATGGTATTCTGGTTTTGACTTTGATCTCCCTGTCTTTACTGGGTAAGTTAAAAGATCTTAAATAAAAATATAGATAATGTTTACTATTTTCTTGTGACTCTTTTCATATTCATTCATTCATTTGTTCATTTTTTGTTAACAAAGCTTTAATAAGAAGCTACTATGTATAAAGCCGTATACTCTACTCCATAGCAATGTATTTAATATGTAGTCAAATCAGGTATCTTGTTCTCAAATGGCATACAGTCTGAAAGGAAGAAAATTGTGTGTGTGTGTGTGTGTGTGTGTGTGTGGTGTATTGGGAAACCATATTTTTGGATTTCTTGGAAACCTGTGAATAGAATTCCATGATTTTTCTTAAAAATGTTTACATGTTGTATCTAAGATTGTATTTAGTTTATACTTTATACTACTATACCCCAAGCATTACTACAAATTTCTGAAATCAAAAAAAGCCCTCAAAACCAAAAAAGCAAAAAAGGAATAATCATGGTGATAAATCTCTAGTGAAAGAAATAGATTTTAAATAAGTAATTATGGTAGAATGGGCTAAGCATAGTGTCGGTTTCAGCAAAATCATGACATGAAGAAGGCATGGAAAGAGCATGTATACTCCCTAGAGTAGAAATTTTGCTTCATTTACTACTGTATCACCAGTTCTTAGCATGATGCCTGGCACAGAATATGTGCCATATTCTGAGGCACATATATGTGCCTCAACAAATATGATTCTATAAGTGAATTAATTATGTAATATTTGAAATTATTTTTCATTAAATAAAATGAAAATAAGAAAGAAACTTTCTAGTTATCCCTTCAGTTGCTTCTTGTTCCCATCATCAGAATCATTCCAAATTATTTGTGTCTGGAGCACTGCACAGGGAGAAGATATTTACCCAATGTTAAAATAATTATGTTTTTAAGTTTCTCAGGGAATATTGCTAAAATGCCAAGAAGCAAAGAATTCAAATATCACCCAACATGATGATATTGGAAACCTGAAAATGAACAGTGGCACAAGAGGAAATATAACTAATAAGGACACAAGCCACTGTGGTTCAAAAGCTACAGACCATTCAGGTATCTCTCAAGACTTTGGCCTATAATGGTTTTCATTCTTTTGGCTTTCTAAGTTTGAAAAAGCCTATTTACCAGTTATGCAGATTACATTAACAAATAAAGATTTGATATCAACCTACTTTTCATTCAAAACTTCATATATACATATAATTTATGACTCTTTTTGTGGTAGGAGGATAGTATCAGTGAGAAGAACATAACAAAGAGGCTCGTCCCTTCAGGAATTTAAAGTCAAATTGAAACACACAAACACGGAAAGTTAATTGTGACTATAAGGCAGTATGTAACTAACTATTTTTTTTCTCTCATTTATTCAGCTTTGAAGTACAAAATGAATAAAAGTAATTATACATAATGAATGATTCATTATGATTTTATGCTTATAACTTCCAATTATGCAGAATTTTAGAAAACTGTCCCTTCTACTTCCAATTTTGTTTTAGTTTCACTTCAAAGTGCTTAACTTTTGGGGCCTTCAACAATTTGTTTTACAGTATATGGGAGAAATGTGCAGCTTAATTTATTTTATAATTATTTTTCAAAGGCTTTTCTCTAGGGGCACCTGGGTGGCTCGGTCGTTTAGGCATCGGACTCTTGCTTTCAGCTCAGGTCATGATGTTGGGATCCTGGGATAAAGCCCGAAGTAGGTTTCGGCGCTCAGTGGGGAGTCTGCTGGAGTTTCTCTCTCTCCCTCTCTCTTTGTTCTTCCCCCGACTCTAAATAAATAAACAAACAAGATCTTTTAAAAAAAGGATTTTCTCTAATACACTAGTTTATGTGGTTTTCTTTATCACATATAAAAATGTCATATATATTATCGTTTACTTACTGATACTCTTTTCTTTTGGATTATCTATCTGTTTTACAAGTCCCAAACTAATTGAAATACTGTAATTTTAACACATATTTTAGACTCAGACTAGCTAATTCATCATTATGTTGGGTATTATAATGGAACTTTTTCAGAGGTAAGAAAGCTTTGGTAGGTAAACATGGAATCATATAGACACCATTAAATTTTTATTAAAATGTCTAAATACTGTATATCAGGCTGTAAGATATTAATTTCCTATTACTTTTTTCTTCTTTTTTAATTGAGGAAATATCCACAAACATGAAGTTAACCGTTTAAAATAAAACAATTCAATGGCATTAGGACATATGAATGTGCAACGACGCTATCTATCTAGTTCCAAAACATTTTCATCACCGAAAAAGAAATCCTATTCCCAGTAAGCAATTCCCCATTCCCTCCCCCCCAGCCTTTAGCAACCACTAATCTGCTTTCTGTTTCTGTGGACTTACCTATTTTGTACGTTCATATAATGGAATCATACAGTATTTCACTTTTTGTGTCTTGCTTCTTTCACTTAGCATAATGTTTTCAAGGTTCATCCATGTTCTATCATATATCAGCATTTTATTTCCTTTTCTGACTGAAGAGCATTCCTCTGTTTGTATAGATCCACAATTCATTTAAGATGGCAATATTAATCAAAGTGCTCTGCAGATTCAAAGAAATTCCTATCAAAATTCCAATGGCCTTTTTTTGTGGAAAGGGACAAGGTGATCCTAAAATTCATGTGAAATTGAAAGAAATCCTGAATAGCAAAAACAATCTTGAAAAAGAATTAATTTGGAAGATTTACATTTTGCAATGTTAAAACCTAATGGGATGGGGAGAATGAATAATGGCTGCTTAATATTTACAGGGTTTCATTTTGGGGTGATGAAAATATTTTGGAATTAGATAGTAGTTATGTTTGCACATTGTGGATGTAATAAAATCCATGGCATTTGCACCTTAAAGTGATTAAAATGGTAAATTTATGTCACATGAATTTTACTCCAATAAAGAAGGGAGATTTTTCAGGGCGCCTGGGTGGCTCAATCATTAAATGTCTGCCTTCGGCTCAAGTCATGATCCCAGGGTCCTGAGATGGAGCCCTGCATCGGGCTCACTGCTCAGCTGGAAGCCTGCTTCTCCTTCTCCACTCCCCCTGCTTGTGTTCCCTCTCTTGTTGTGTCTCTCTCTGTCAAATAAATAAATAAAATCTTTAAAAAAAAAAGAAGGGAGATTTTAATGGCCATAAGTTTGAATAGTTATTCTGACTTGAACTCATATTTGTTCATACAATTCACTTTCTCTCGTTATGCCAAAGTCTCAGATATTTTCAATTGAAGACCTCAGTTTAATTTAATTTAAGAAAATCAAAGAACTTGAACTTGTAATTATATAGGGGCTGAAAAACTATTATTTTCAATATTATTTAATATCAAAAAGGAGTTATTAAGGAAAGATTTATGCACATAAAACAAGGAGAGAAATCTTAAAGCTTTATAGGATTAAATTCTAAGAGAATGGTATAAATATATTTAATCTCACAAGTAGCATTAATGCAATTTACAGCTTAAATGGTTCATGTTATTTTAGTAATTACATCAGAACTGGGCATGAAAAAGAAATCCCCTTTTGTCTAAGTTTTGCTTCATCTTATGAAATTAATTTCTTAATTCCCGTGAATTATCATTTGTAATTTGGACATCTTTTAAATCTGAACACTTTGTTAGAGTGATTTTATAGTACAGTTCCACTCTTATTTATGCAACACAGAAGTATTCAATTTTCTTTTCTTTTGTTTTTTCAAAGATTTTATTTATTTATTTGACAGAGATAGACACAGTGAGAGAGGGAACACAAGCAGGGGGAGAGGGAGAGGCAGAGGCAGAAGCAAGCCTCCCGCCGAATGGGGAGCCCGATGTGGGGCTTGATGCCAGGACCCTGGGATCATGACCTGGGCCGAAGGCAGACGCTTAACTGCTGAGCCACCCAGGCACCCCAGAAGTATTCAATTTTCACTGAATACACATGTAACTTAATTTTCTTTGTTTCCTCCATTTCCCTATAGGGTTGTGCCCATCTGAATGGCTCAAATATCAAAAAAAGTGTTATTGGTTCTCTAATGAGATGAAAAGTTGGAATGACAGTTACAGGTATTGTTTGGGAAGAAAATCTCATCTACCAATCATTCAGGACCAACTTGAAATGGTAAGTAGTTTAGTGTCAGGGTTATGACATTAATCTCTGTGCAGTTAGAAATGGTACTCCTCAAGACGATTATCATATGATCTCACTCATATGTGGAATTTAAGAAACAAAACAGAGGATCATGGCGAAGGGAGGGGAAAAATAAAACAAGACAAAATCAGAGAGGAAGACAAACCACAAGAGACTCTTAATCATAGGGAACAAACTGAGGGTTGCTGGAGGGGAAAGGGGTTGGGGGTCGAGTAGCTGGGTGATGTAGCTTAAGGGGGGCACGTGATGTAATGAGCACAGGGTGTTATATGCAACCAATGAATCACTAAACTCTACCTCTGAAACTAATAATACACTATATGTTAATTACTTGAATTAAAAAAAATTATGCTAAATGAATGAAAAAAAATGGCTTTCCTCAAGGGTGCCTGGGTGACTCAGGGAGTTAAGCATTTGACTCTTGATTTTAGCTCAAGTCATGATCTCAGGGTCATGAAATCAAGGTCCTGACACCAAGCCCCCCATCATCTCCACACTCAGCACAGAGTGTGCCTGGGATTCCCTTTTTCCTTCACCCTCTGCCCCTCCCCTCTCTCACACACACTCTCTCTTTCTCTCAAGCTCTCTAAAATCAATCAATCAATAAATGAAATCTTTTTTAAAAAATGGCTTTTCTCAAATTTCTTCCCACCCTTCCTTTATTTTTATTTTTATTTTTAAAAATTTTTTATTGTTATGTTAATCACCATACATTACATCATTAGTTTTTGATGTAGTGTTCCATGATTCATTGTTTGTGCATAACACCCAGTGCTCCACGCAGAATGTGCCCTCTTTAATACCCATTACCAGGCTAAACCATCCACCCACCCCCCTCCCCTCTAGAACCCTCAGATTGTTTTTCAGAGTCCATCATCTCTCATGGTTCGTCTCCCCCTCCGACTTACTCCCCTTCATTCTTCCCCTCCTGCTATCTTCTTCTTCTTCTTTTTTCTTAACATATATGGCATTATTTGTTTCAGAGGTACAGATCTGTAATTCAACAGTCTTGCACAATTCACAGCACTCACCATAGCACATACCCTACCCAATGTCTATCACCCAGCCACCCGATCTCTCCCACCCCCACCACTCCAGCAGCCCTCAGTTTGATTCCTGAGATTAAGAATTCCTCATATCAGTGAGGTCATATGGGACATGTCTTTCTCTGATTGACTTACTTCCCCCAGCATAACCCCCTCCAGTTCCATCCACGTCATTCCAAATGGCAAGATCTCATTCCTTTTGATGGCTGCAAAATATTCTGTTGCATATATATACCACTTCTTCTTTGGAACAATGTCTGTTCATGTCTTCTGCCCATTTCTTGATTGGATTCTTTGTTCTTTAGGTGTTGAGTTTGATAAGTTCTTTATAGATTTTGGATACTAGCCCTTTATCTGATATGTCATTTGCAAATATTTTCTCCCATTCTGTCGGTTGTCTTTTGGTTTTGTGGACTGTTTCTTTTGCTGTGCATAAGCTTTTTATCTTGATGAAATCCCAGGAGTTCATTTTTGCCCTGGCTTCCCTCGCCTTTGGCGATATTTCTAGGAAGAAGTTGCTGTGGCTGAGGTTGAAGAGGTTGCTGCCTGTGTCCTCCTTTAGGATGTTGATGGACTCCTGTCTCACGTTAGGTCTTTCAACCATTTGGAGTCTATTTTGTGGTGTAAGGAAATGGTCCAGTTTCATTCTTCTGCATGTGGCTGTCCAATTTTCCCAACACCATTTGTTGAAGAGACTGTCTTTTTTCCATTGGACATTCTTTCCTGCTTGGTCAAAGATGAGTTGACCATAGAGTTGAGGGTCCATTTCTGGGCTGTCTATCTGTTCCATAGCTCTATGTGTCTGTTTTTGTGCCAGTACCATATTGTCTTGTTGAAAGCTTTGTAATAAAGCTGGAAGTCCGGAATTGTGATGCCGCCAGCCTTGCTTTTCTTTTTCAATATTCCTCTGGCTATTCGGGGTCTCTTCTGGTTCCATACACACTTTAGGTTTATTTGTTCCATTTCTTTGAAAAAAGTGGATGGTATTTTGATGGGGATTGCATTGAATGTGTAGATTGCTCTAGGTAGCATTGACATCTTCACAATGTTTGTTCTTCCAATCCCTGAGCATGGAACATTTTTCCGTTTCTTTATGTCTTCCTCAATTTCTTTCATGAGTATTTTATAGTTTTCTGAGTACAGATCCTTTGCCTCTTTGGTTAAATTTATTCCTAGGTATCTTCTGGTTTTGGGTGCAATTGTAAATGGGATCGACTCCTTGATTTGTCTCTCTTCTGTCTTGTTGTTGGTGTATAGGAATGCCACTGATTTCTGTGCATTGATCTTATATCCTGCCACTTGACTGAATTCCTGTATGAGTTCTAGCAGTTTTGGGGTGGAGTCTGTTGGGTTTTCCACATACAGTATCATATCATCTGTAAAGAGTGAGAGTTTGACTTCCTCTTTGCTGATTTGGATGCCTTTGATTTCTTTTTGTTGTCTGATTGCTGTGGCTAGGACTTCTAATACTATGTTGAATAGCAGTGGTGAGAGTGGACATCCCTGCCGCGTTCCTGACCTTAGGGGAAAAGCTCTTAGCTTTTCCCCATTGAGAATGATATTCGTTGTAGGTTTTTCATAGATGGCTTTTATGATATTGAGGTATGTACCCTCTATCTCAATACTCTGAAGAGTTTTGATCAAGAAAGAATGCTGTACTTTGTCAAATGCTTTTTCTGCATCTATGGAGAGGATCATATGATTCTTGTTCTTTCTTTTGTTAATGTGTTGTATCACATTGATTGATTTGCGGATGTTGAACCAACCTTGCAGCCCAGGGATATATCCCATTTGGTCATGGTGAATAATCCTTTTAATGTACTGTTGGATCCTATTGGCTGGTATTGTGGTGAGAATTTTTGCATCCATGTTCATCAAGGATATTGGTCTGTAATTCTCCCTTTTGATGGGGTCTTTGTCTGGTTTTGGGATCAAGGTAATGCTGGCCTCATAAAATGAGTTTGGAAGTTTTCCTTCCATTTCTATTTTTTGGAACAGTTTCAGGAGAATAGGTATTAATTCTTGAAATGTTTGGTAGAATTCCCCTGGGAAGCCATCTGGCCCTGGGCTTTTGTTTGTTGGGAGATTTTTGATGACTGCTTCAATTTCCTTAGTGGTTATAGGTCTGTTCAGGTTTTCTATTTCTTCCTGGTTCAATTTTGGTAGTTGATACATCTCTAGTCATGCATCCATTTCTTCCAGGTTATCTAATTTGCTGGCATAGAGTTGCTCATAATATGTTCTTATAATTGTTTGTATTTCCTTGGTGTTGGTTGTGATCTCTCCTCTTTCATTCATGATTTTGTTGATTTGGGTCCTTTCTCTCTTCTTTTTGATCAGTCTGGCCGGGGCTTTATCAACCTTGTTAATTCTTTCAAAGAACCAGCTCCTAGTTTCGTTGATCTGTTCTACTGTTCTTTTGGTTTCTGTTTCATTGATTTCTCCTCTGATATTTATTATTTCTCTTCTGCTGATTTTAGGCTTTATTTGCTGTTTTTTCTCTAGCTCCTTTAGGTGTAGGGTTAGGTTGTGTATTTGAGACCTTTCTTGTTTCTTGAGAAAGGCTTTTATTGCTATATACATTCCTCTTAGGACTGCCTTTGTGTATCCCAAAGATTTTGAACAGTTGTGTTTTTATTTTCATTGGTTTCCATGAATTTTTTTAATTCTTCTTTAATTTCCTGGTTGACCCATTCATTCTTTAGTAGGATGCTCTTTAGCCTCCATGTATTTGAATTCTTTCCAGCTTTCCTCTTGTGATTGAGTTCTAGTTTCAAAGCATTGTGGTCTGAAAATATGCAGGGAATGATCCCAATCTTTTGGTAGCGGTTGAGACCTGATTTGTGACCGAGGATGAGATCAATGCTGGAGAATGTTCCATGGGCACCAGAGAAGAATGTGTATTCCGTTGCTTTGGGATGGAATGTTCTGAATATGTCTGTGAAGTCCATTTGGTCCAGTGTGTCATTTAAAGTCTTTATTTCCTTGTTGATCTTTTGCTTAGAGGATCTGTCCATTTCAGCGAGGGGGGTGTTAAAGTCCCCCACTGTTATTGTATTGTTGTCAATGTGTTTCTTTGCTTTTGTTATTAATTGCCTTATATAATTGACTGCTCCCATGTTAGGGGCATAGATATTTACAATTGTTAGATCTTGTTGGATAGACCCTTCAAGTAGGATATAGTGTCCTTCTTCATCTCTTATTACAGTCTTTGTTTTAAAATCTAATTTGTCTGATATAAGGATTGCCACCCCAGCTTTCTTTTGGTGTCCATTGGCATGGTAAATGGTTTTCCACCCCCTCATTTTCAATCTGGGGGTGTCTTTGGGTCTAAAATGAGTCTCTTGCAGACAGCATATTGATGGGTTTTGTTTTTTAATCCAATCTGATAGCCTGTGTCTTCTGATTGGGACATTTAGCCCATTTACATTCAGGGTAACTATTGAAAGATAGGAATTTAGTGCCATTGCATTGCCTGTAAGGGGACTGTCACTGTATATTGTCTGTGTTCCTTTCTGATCTATGCTACTTTTAGGCTCTCTCTTTGCTTAGAGGACCCCTTTCAATATTTCTTGGAGGGCTGGTTTCGTGTTTGCAAATTCCTTTAGTTTTTGTTTGTCCTGGAAGCTTTTTATCTCTCCTTCAATTTTCAATGGCAGCCTAGCTGGATATAGTATTCTGGGCTGCATATTTTTCTCGTTTAGTTCTCTGAAGATATCATGCCAGTCCTTTCTCGCCTGCCAGGTCTCTGTGGATAGGTCTGTTGCCAATGTAATATTTCTACCATTGTAGGTTACATATCTCTTCTCCTGAGCTGCTCTCAGGATTTTCTCTTTGTCTCTGAGACTCATAAGTTTTACTATTAGATGTTGGGGTGTTGACCTATTTTTATTGATTTTGAGAGGGGTTCTCTGTGCCTCCTGGATTTTGATGCCTGTTTCCTTCCTCACATTAGGGAAGTTCTCTGCTATAATTTGCTCCAAGATACCTTCTGCCCCTCTCTCTCTTTCTTCTTCTTCTGGGATCCCAATTATTCTAACATTGTTTCATCTTATCGTATCACTTATCTCTCGAATTCTGCCCTTGTGATCCTGTAGTTGTTTATCTCTCTTTTTCTCAGCCTCTTTATTTTCCATCATTTGGCCTTCTATATCGCTGATTTTCTCTTCTGCCTCATTTATCCTAGCAGTTAGTGCCCCCATTTTTTATTGCACCTCAGTAATAGCCTTTTTGACTTTGACTTGGTTAGATTTTAGTTCTTTTAATTTTCCAGAAAGCGTTTCTCTAATAACTTCCATGCCTTTTTCAAGCCCAGCTAGTATCTTTAAAATCATGATTCTGAACTCTAGGTCCGACATCGTACTAATGTCCGTATTGAGTAGGTCCCTGGCTGACGGTACTACCTCTTGTTCTTTTTGCTGAGGTGATTTCTTTCGTCTTGTCATTTTGTCCAGAGGAGACTAGATGAATGAGAGAACAAAATGCTAACAGGTTAACAACGTCCCCAGCAACTATACTCTATACAAATCAGAAAAGACCTGAAACCAGGGGAAAAGAAAGGGAAAGAAAGAAAAAAGAAAGAGGAAAAAAAAAAGAAAAAGAAAAAGAAAAAGATAAAAACAAACAAAAACACAACAAAACAAAACAAAAAACAGAATATGATCAAATATGATCAGGCTAGTGCATAGATCAGTGCCACACACTAGATTTTGGGTGTATTTTGGACTGTTAGAAGAAAGTGCCTCCTAAAATTTTAAAGGAAGAAAGACTTATATCTGTACAAAATAAGGGTTGATACAATGAAGGGATGGAAGGTGACTGTAAAGATGAAAATTCTAAAAGATTTTATAAAAGGAATTGATAAGAAGTTGTTTGAAAAAAGGAAGTAGATTTAAAAAAAAAAAGAAAAAAAAGGGGGAGAATGTGATCAGGCAGGAGACTAGAACAAAGCCATACACTAGTGATTTAGGGTATATTTTGATCTGTTAGAAGAAACTGTATCTCAAAATTTTAAAGAGAGAACAACTTATATATATATATGCCAAAAATGAGGGTAACACTATGAAGGGATAAAATATGACCCTAAAAATGAAAAATGAAAAATGTTTTTTTAAAAAAGGGATTGATAAGATGTTGGTTGAAAAAGGGAAAAAGAAAAATTCAAAAAAAGAAAAAAACAGTTAAAAAATTAACTGAAAAACTAATGAATCATGGTATAAAAGCCATGAATTCTATGTGCAGTACTCCCCTAGCGCTGGCGTTCTCCCGTTCTCCTTGATCGGTAAACTTGGTCTTGGCTTGCTGGCTATTCGGGCTGATCTTCTGGGGGAGGGGCCTGTTGCCGTGGTTCCCAAATGTCTTTGCCGGAGGCGGAATTGCCCCTAAGCAAGCTGCTCGGGTTTGGTCTCAGGAGCTTTTATTTCCTGCAAGCTCTCGGTATAGCTTTGGAGGACGAGAGTGAAAATGGTGGCCTCCCAATCTCTGCCTGGAGGAGCTGAGAACTTGGGGCCCCACTCCTCAGTGCACCCCCAGAGAAAAGCAGTCACTCCCGTCTCCCCGGTCTCTGGCCGCACTCCGTGCTCACCGGGCCTGTGACCGAGCGTTTCTATCTCTGGCACCTGACCCCGTGTGGAGTCTCCAAACCCAGCAGATCCCTGCGGTGCGCTCCCGCGCCACTCCTCCTGGGGGAGGAAGGGGAGTCTCCCCGGCTCTGCCGCTTGTTGGGTCCCTGCTGGAGGTTCAGTGGCCCGACTGGGCCGCGGATCACAGTTTATGGCAACCCCGAGCTGAGAGCCCGCGCCTCGGCTCCGTCTCTGCAGCCGGCTTCCCCGCTCCGATACCTGGGAGCTCTGGCGCACTCAGGCACCCCCGGTCTTTCTGTGACCCCGAGGGTCCTGAGACCACACTGTCCTGCTAGGGTTCCACACCACCCCCCCAGCCACTGGAGCAATGTCCCTCAGCAGAGCTGACTTCTAAAAGTTCCAGTTTTGTGCTCCGCGCTCTATCACTTGCCAGAAGCGGCCGGCGGAGGTCCCCGTCCCCCGCCGTCTGTCCTCCTGAATATCGCCTGGGATTCAGTTCTCCGCACGCCCTACCTTCCAGTAAGTGGTCGCTTCTCTGTTCAGAGAGTTGTTGCTACTCTCTTCTTCGATCTCCTGTTGAGTTGGTAGGTGTTCAGAATGGTTTGATCCCTATTCAGCTGAATTCCTGAGACCAGACGAAATCCAGGTCTCCTACTCCTCCGCCATCTTGCTCCGCCCCCCCACCCTTCCTTTAAATCATCATTTATCTCAGTCACCGAGTTTTTGGCACCCTCCTAGTTTTTGTGCTCAATGCCAGTGCTTCACTTGACTCATACTAGTCCTTGGCTGAATATTTGTATTCAATTTACAAGTGATACATATGTATGTGTATGTATGTAATAAATATATAGTGTGTGTAATTAAGTTATGAATTGATTAGTATAAGAATGTTCATGTAGGATGCTAATTGTCCAATAAAATTCTAAATCTTAATTAGTATGTCTACATTATTAAAATATTCTGTTCACTTAGTTACTCATTACTCACTTTTTAGGCTTTTATACAGAAAAACCTAAAACAAACAAACTATGTGTGGATTGGGCTTAACTTTACATCTCTGAAGAGGACATGGACCTGGGTGGATGGTTCTCTGTTAGACTCAAAGACGTGAGTCCAAAACCACTGTCTGATTTACTGTCTATTGTAGAACTTATCTTCATAAAGCACCTCTAAGTCCACCAAAATCAACTCTGAAATAATTGTCGATACTAAGGAATTTGGAAGGATGAAAATTGATTTAATTTTCACTGGAATAATGATGGATATTTTGGTTTTGTTTTCAAAGCAAAAAGATTTGAAAACAGTAATCATTGTGCATTTATTGTTTAAAGACTACACCAGATAAAAAAATGGAAAGAAGACTAGAACAGAGATATGGACACAGATTTACTCTTAGCTCTGTCATTTCTAACAGACTCTCTGGGAACTCTGTGCAAATTACAGAGAATAAGATTAAGTTACAGAGATATTGTAACTTTTAGTGAATCAAGGGATTTGGAAATGCCCTAAAATCTGAATGGCCTTTCAATTAAGGGAGGGTATTAGTTGAAAACACAAATGGATGTCTTTGGCAACAATGATTAACAATGAATTTATCCCTTCTTCTACAGATTTTTCATAAAAGGACCAGCTAAAGAAAATAGCTGTGCAGCCACCAAGGAAAACAAAATTTATTCTGAAACCTGCAGCAGTGTTTTCAAATGGATTTGTCAATCAATCAATAATCAATGATCAAAGTTTTTTTGCCAACTAGGTTCTAATATTAATCTTAAGGAGTAAGAATTTAAAACTACAATTAAAAAATAGAACTACAATTAAACAACAAAATGTCTTCTCCATTTTCCCTCCATCATCTACCTTGGTTCTAACCTTAGAGTACACCATGTAAACAATCTAAAATAGTCCCTTTCAATGTTTTATGTGGTAATATAATCCACTGTGAGTCCATGCCTTCATACTCAGGATTTTTATTCATTTTTCATTTTACAGCAAATGTGATCAAATTATACCTGCTTTTCTGTATTGTGCTTGTTTAATTTGTAACAATATCCTATGCAAATTTCATATAATTCTGAGTTGCACTTTAGTATGGATTCATACATTTTTTTACTGCTTTGTTGATGAACATTAACTTTGTTCTCAAGTTTTTTCTACTGTAAACTATGCTGCAGTAAACGTTCTGAATATCTTTTTAAAAAGTAATACCTGTTATTTCTTTGATATAAATCTTAAAACTGGATTTTATGACTCAAAAGCATTAAATATGTTGTTTTCTTTAGATTTCATACAATTTTAATCTAAATTTAGAAACTATCATAAATTTATAAGATTACAGGTACAGGGCAAAAGCACTTTCCTTCTTCCTGAACCTCTTGAGAATTACTTGTCAGACTGATACATTTTATTATAAAATTTCAAGTATCATTGGATACTTTTGTGTATATTTTCTACAAAAAAATCCCTTACTTAATCACAATTAAATGATCAAAATTAACAAACTAGCATTGACACAGTGCTACCATTCTCAGACTCTCTTTAAGGTTTGCCAATTGTCTCTAGAGTAAAAGATCCAGCTCAGAATCATCTCCTGCATTTAGTTATTATGTCTCTTTAATCTCCTTAAATCTAAAAGAGTTCTTTAGCCTTCCTTGCTATTCACAACTTGACACTTCTGAATACTACAACCCGGTTATTCTGCAAAATGTTCTTCAGTTTGAATCTGTCTGATTATTTCTCATGGTTATATTCAACTGCTCCTTGGCAGAAACAGTGAGAAGTTCTCACTGCATCCTTTCCGATGGCACACACATTTATTTGTTCCATTGTTGATGCTATTGACTTTGTTCACATGCTTAATCTGATGTCTATCAGACTTCACTATAAAGTTTCTCTTTTCCCTTTGTAATTAATTAATATTTTGTGGACAGTGACCAAGATGGTTTTAACATTCCCTTCAGCTTAACTAAATTTTAGAAAAGCTTTGTTCTTCCTATCTATGAGCCCCTGACCTCATTTTTAGACCATTTACTTGAGGAAACTTGTAATTGGAAATTCTGTCTCCGCTTCTTTGAGATGCAAATCTTTCAAAAAGTTTTTTAAAGGCTTTTCAACCCAGAAATGTCTCTCTTAAGGACCAGAGAGGTATTCCTTTGAAATGTAATCAAGAAAAGTAGCACCTCTATTCCTTAGTTTCTGTGGGAAGGTAGGAGGCTAACTTCAGTGGGCATCTAGATCCAAGTTGTTAAACTCTTTCCTATCATGAGGGGAAGAATGAAGGGGAGTAAGTCTGACGGGGAGATGAACCATGAGAGACGATGGACTCTGAAAAACAAACTGAGGGCTCTAGAGGGGAGGGGGTAGAGGGATGGGTTAGCCTGGTGATGGGTATTAGAGAGGGCACATTCTGCATGGTGCACTGGGTGTTATGCACAAACAATGAATCATGGAACACTACATCAAAAACTAATGATGTAATATATGGTGATTAACATAACAATAAAAAACCCCTCTCTCCTATCATGAAGACCTGAAAAAGTTTAATTTTCCTCTGGGTACAGCTGTTTAGCAGACACAGATGGTGTATGATCTCCTCCCTCGCCCCAGCTCTGCAAAACCTTGTGGTCCTCTGTTTCAGCAGATTTTAGTTCAGACCGAGTTCTCGCCTATGTCCCTATTGTCATAACATTGAATGAAGTCTTTTCCTGTGTAAGGAAATTTTGGTGGAATTTTTGCTTTGACAGAAGGTACTTTTAGACTTTGTAAAATCCCATTCTTCATCAGAATCTCAATGTATTCATTTTTGTATTTGTATCTTTGTGGACTCTCATTTTCATATTTTGTTCAATTTGTATACTCTACTTGGACTCTCAAATTGTTCCAGACCTAGTCGTAAAAGTTACCCTTTGAGGTGACATTGGTATCCTTGATCTCCATGATCCTTTGCCGGTGTGTGGTGTTGTTTATTTGTTTTGTGGTAATAACCTTAGCAGAATGCCAGTAACCATTTTCGCCAATGTTTGAACTGGTCTTTATGTTCTAGTCTGATTCATAAATACTAATAAAATAATTAACCAGACAAATAATAAAATACATTTTTCTCGGTCCAAATAATTTGCTTTTCTTTGCACCTCTTAAAATGTTGTATTTTATTTTCTGTCTCCTCATCAATAATTTAAGCTCCCTGTTCAAGTGTTTTTCCCTGTTTGAATATTTAAAGCAATGTCTGACACATCACAGATGCTCAATAAATATTGCTTGAATAAAATTTGATAGGTGCTGTGGAGAAAAGTTGTATGTTACTTATGAGACTATCAAGTAGGGGGATCTGATACCATCCCTTAATTCAGCTATGAATCTTCAAATATACAACACATAAGCTGAGAGATGTAAAGTGAGTAGAATTCGGTAGAAGGGGGATTCTTTCAGGAAGTCCTAGATAAAACCCTAATAGGTGAAATAAAAAACCTTTTGGATTTGTGAGCATGCTATGCTTTAAAAAAAAAATGTGAAGACAGTGCTACCGGAGGCCAAAAAAAGGATAAACTGGGTGCCAAAATAGGCTGGAAAATAAGGTGTCTTAAACATCACGTATTTCCACTTTCACTTCAACAGCAGTTGAAAGCCAATAAAAGGCTCAAGTTAGCAGAGTAACCTGGTGAATTTTGAGTTTTGGAACCATTACCCTGGAAACATACCCAGTATGGGAAGAGGAAGATGAAGTATTTGAGTTATGAGCTAATTTAGGGACTATTAGGCAACAGATGATGGGCTAGTATTCAAGCTTCAGAGATAAAGTGAATTAAAATATAAGCATGAATAGGGTTTATTATGATAGTAACAATCAGACTTTCTCAAAATAGAGGTGTAATATATTAAATTGTGTTTCAGTTTTGAGAATGTATTTCTTCCTTTTACTCCTTCAACCATCACTTTATTCCAAGGTTTTTCATCTCTTAGGTTCACACCTTTCCTTGCTCTCTAGATTCCTAAGCTCAAATATGTTGGCTGCAATATAGACCCAGCATACAGTTCTGCCAGTGAGTTACCTGCTGAATATTTCTATTTATTCCTGCTAAATTGACTAAAAATGGTAGATGAAGAACAAAGCCAATATTAAGGACAATACCAGGCTTCTGGGGTTTTTTGTTGTTGTTGTCGTTTGTTTGTTTGTTTGTTTTGAGATTTTATTTATTTATGGGATGCCTGGATAGCTCAGTCAGTTAAATATCTGCCTTTGGCTCAGGTCGTGATCCCAGGGTCCTGGGATCGAGTCCCGCATCGGGTTCCTTGCTCAGTGGGGAGCCTGCTTCTCTCTCTGCCTGCCTCTCCCCTTGCTTGTGCTCTCTCTCTCTGAAAAATGAATAAATTTTTAAAAAATCTTTAAAAAAACATTTTATTTATTTATTTGACAGAGAGAGAGAGAGGGTGCACAAGCAGGGGGAGAGGCAGAGGGAAAGGGAGAGAGAAAAGCAGACTCCCTGCTCAGCAGGGAGCCCAATGCAGAGCTCTGTCCCAGGACCCCAAGATCATGACCTGAGCTGAAGGCAGCCGCTTAACCTACTGTGCCATCCAAGTGCCCCCAGGTTTCTGTTTTTATGCACTTTGTTGGATGGTGGTTCCATTTAGTGTGCTGAGAAGGGACATATTTTGAGGGAAAGATTATAAGTTGTAGACATATTCAGAGGCAAACCACAAGAGACTCTTAACTATAGAGAACAAATAGGGTTGATGAGGGAGGGAGGTAGGGGATGGGCTAAATTGGGGGATGGGTATTAAGGAGGGCATTGTTATGATGAGCACTGAGTGTTATATATAAGTGATGAATCACTAAGTCCTACTCCTGAAGCCGATATTACACTATATATTAACTAACTAGAATTTAAATAAAAATTTGGAAGAAAAAAAAGTATAATTGAGATGTTGAAGTGGAGTAGATAGTTAGGTAATCTGGAATTTAGAGACAGTATCACTGTTGAATGTGTAAATTTAAGATCCTTTAGAGGATGTTGATCCTAAATGTGTAAAGGAGGGGATGGGAAGAGGAAAGAGAAAAGGCCTAAAACTATAGAAAGACTAACGAATATGGCAGTAACAGAGAGCGTGTACTGAAATCAGAAAAAGCAGAGAAGTCAGGAAGCAAGGAGGAATCTCAGGGGAATATGGTGTCATAGAATTCTTGGAAGACAGTATTTAAAGAAGGGAGGAATGGAAAAGAAATGTTAAATTCTGCTTGAGATGACCTGAGAGATGTTAAGTGAAGCATGTTCACTGGGTATGGACATACAGACTGGCATGATTTGGTGAGAGTTGCTTTTGTGTATTTTGCAGAGTGGTAGATAAAATGAGATGTGACTAGACTGAAATTCTGGGAGGACCAATTTTTTTTCATTTAAGTAAGTGCCCTGAAACAAGGAAGGGACACTCTAGCTCAGGCTGCTATCTGAGAAAGTTGAAACATAGAAACGGAAATAAGCTGATCTTGATAATACAACGTATTGGACTGCTATGGCCGCCATAACAAAAGATCACAAACTGAGTGGCTTAAAACAACGGAATTTTATTGTCTCACAGTTCTCGAGACTAGAAGTCCAAGATCAAGATGTCTGCTGGGTCATGCTCTCTCAGAGTGCTCTAGAGGAGAATCCTCTCTTGCGCCTTCTGGCTTCTCATCAGAACTGGTAATCCTTGGCGTTCCTTGGCTTATAGATACATCACTTCAATCACATGGCTGCTTTTTCTCTGTGTCTTCACATAGTCTTCCCTTTGTGAGCATTTGTCACTAAATCCAAATTTTACCATCTTATAAGGACACCAGTCTTAAAGACATTTCGACCCATCCTAAAGATTTCATTGTATCTATTACATTTATCTATTACATCTGTTACATGACTCTATTTCTAAATAAGGTCACATTCTGAGGTGCTGAGGGTTAGGACTTGGGGACATAATTAAACCCATAACAGAGAAGAGGAGGAATTTTATTAAACCTACTACAAATGACTAAAGTTTATATTGCTACTACCATATGGAACAGAATTTATTGTTTTTCATATTAAATATGCATAAATAACTTAAATAACTGAACAAAATTATTATTATCTTCAACTAAAATGAACCTATGTAATTAATTATTGACTGATAAATACTTGGTCTTTTTTTTTTTTAAAGATTTTATTTATTTATTTGAGAGAGAGAGAATGAGAGATGGAGAGCACAAGAGGGAAGAGGGTCAGAGGGAGAGGCAGACTCCCCGCCGAGCAGGGAGCCTGATGCGGGACTCGATCCCGGGACTCCAGGATCATGGCCTGAGCCGAAGGCAGTCGCTCAACCGACTGAGCCACCCAGGCGCCCAAATATTTGGTCTTATAAAGGCCTGCCACTAGGTCTGACAGATCCTGGGAAACATTTTTTTTTTTTTTTTGGCAGAACTTCTGTTTAAACAAACAGTTTGATTAAAATGTATTACAAAATTCATGAGCCCATGGAGATGTTATGATTTATCTGTAAAATTTCAGAATTGTGGATAGAAGAGATTGAGTATGCATTTGCTTATTGTCCAGTGAGTGTGTAAGCAGGTTTTTCATAGTGTCCTCACATCACTTCTTCCTCCTCAGGTCCAAGGACCATCTCTGCCTTGTTTATTGGTAAGTGTGTCTTTCCTGGCTAGTTTCATTTCTGGAGAGTGAAAAAAAAATTCTTTTAAAAAGAAGGGAGGGGTGCCTGGGTGGCTCAGTCAGTTAAGCGTCTGCCTTCAGCTCAGATCATGATCCCAAGGTCATGCGATCGATCCCCACATCTGGCTCCCTACCCAGCAGAGAATCTACTTCTTTCACCTTCTGCTCTTCCCCACATTCATACGCGCCTGTGAGCTGTCTCCCTCCATCTCTCTCTCAAAAAAAAAAAAAAAACTTAAAAAAAAGAAGAAAAAGGTAGCAATGCTGTTATTACTCTCACTATCATGGTTCTTAGAAATTTGTTTTTACTGAAACAACATGGATCTCCTTGAGTTTACATTTGCTTAGCACCTTTTACTTCATTCTGATTACATCCTTATACTATACTCCATAAATACACTTTTCCCGTGACTCTCAAAGGTTGGTGCTGGGGTGCACTGATGATCACAAATCTAAATCTAATCTAAAATATGCACAAAATATGAACAATAATTAATTTTTTAGACACATTAAACTTACCATTCACAATTTTATACTATAAATGTAAAACAACACATCTTCCAACCATGTCTTCATTGAATTATTGAAACAATAATCCCAATAATCCCCGCAGAGAATATTTTAGGGCAATCACATTCATGAATTTAGGCATAGGAATATTAAAAAATAAATATCAGAATAAATCAACTTAGAATAAATATGATAGCCAAGTTGAATTTGATCTAGGAATTCAAAATAGTTATTTAATATTAGAAAACTTGTGTCATTTACCACACTGAAAGATGAAGGAAGAACATCCAAATAGATGAAGGAAACAAAAACATATAAGAAAATTCAAATTCCCTTTCTACTGAAAAATTTTTTTTAGGAAACAGGAACAGAAAAGAACTGCCTTAACTTAAAAAAAGTGCATAAAAATGAAATAAAAGACTGATAATGTTGAAATATTAGGCACCAGGAGTGCCTGGGTGGCTCAGTCAGTTGGACATCTGCCTTTGGCTCAGGTCATAATCCCAGCATCCTGGGATCGAGCCCCACGTCAAGCTCCCTGCTCAGTGGGGAGCGTCCTCCTCCCTCTCTCCTTATTGTTGTCTCTCTCTCTCTCAAATAAATAAATAAAATCTTTTTTTATAGTGATAGATTTCTTTTTTTAAGATTTTATTTATTTATTTGAGAGAGAGAATGAGAGACAGAGAGCATGAGACGGAGGAGGGTCAGAGGGAGAAGCAGACTCCCCACTGAGCAGGGAGCCTGATGTGGGACTGGATCCCGGGACTCCAGGATCATGACCTGAGCCGAAGGCAGTCGCTTAACCAACTGAGCCACCCAGGTGCCCTAAATAAATAAAATCTTTTAAAAAAGAAAATGTTAGAAGTATTTTCTTTAGAATGTGAAACAAATTAATAATGTTTACTGCCAATAGTGTCTTGGCAGTTCTACACATTTTAATTAGACAAAAATTAAGTAATAGTTCTAAGAAAAAATAAACCTTATTATTAGGTGCTATGTTTTACAATATTTAAAAGAATCCACAAATTATTAGAATTATGAGCTTTCAGAATGTATGTTGAAGAGGAGAAGAATAACACAAAGAATTACATTTCCATATATAAAAATAACTATTATAAAAAATAATAAAATTACATCATTGCAACAGCATAAACATCAGATACATTTAATAAGGACACATATAATAAATAACATGCAGTGACTGGTTAGAAAAACTATAAATTATACAAGAAGACAAACACCAACATAAGATATATATTATAAATGAATAAGAAATATTATAAATACAACACTTTCCAAACTGATTTATAGATCCTGTGAAATTAATTACAGGAGTCTTCTAACATTGATATAAAAAAGATCCAGGCCTTGAAAAGTAGAAAAATAAGTTGAAGGAAATTATTTTGACAATTATCAAGATGTATTATCAGACTAGAACATTAAAGCAGTGAAGTGTTGAAAATTAACTTATACAGAGGGAAAGAAAAAAAGAATTACAGAAATCATGGTATGTATGTTGCAATTCCACTATAGAAACATTAAGTTAGTGCATTTTCCTCCTGCAAATCCATTTTCTTTCTGTGTAGCATCTAGCTGTTGCTGCACCATCATCATCTAGGTAAGCACATTTTTCATTTCCTCTCACAGAAAACCTACGATAAAGGGATTAAACACCATGTACCAAAAAAATCCTGTGATTTCTCATTTGCCCAATGACCCCATTTTAAAAAATATCTGTCCAGAGTCCTGAAAAAGTGTGCTGTGGCACAGTCCTCTCTTGCTAAGGGGAAGATATCTACCAAATTAGACCATAAAAGTTCCTCTTCCAAGAATTTATACCTATTACACTGACATTAAGATAGTTATGTTTAATCAGTGGAAATATCAGTTTATATAAACCAATAGTTCTTAACACAACACGATTTTGCTTTGTGTTCCCCACCCCACCCCCCAACACACACTTGGCAACACCTGGAGACATTTTGGGTTGTCGTAAGTGGAGGTGGGGGGGAGGACTGCCTAATAGGTAGAAGCCAGAGATGCTGCTAACATCCTAAAATGCACAAGACAGCACCCCTTCCCCACAACAAAGAATTATTCAGCCCAAAATGTCAGTTGTGTTGCTGTTGAGAAATTCTATTATAAACTAAGTGGCAAAGTGGCTGGCAATCACCATTTAGGGTGGTTATTTGGAGGTCATCTGTGCAGTAAATGTTGCAAAGTGGAAGATATGAAGGCCAGATAAAATCAGGTTAAAATGAACAAGTTTAACTTGAACTGTAAAAGATGTAAACAAACAGGTAGCATGAAGTTTGAAGAATAGATATAAGTTGGAAAATATAGGTTAAAATCAGGCAAATGTTTTTTGGATTTTTTTTTTTTTTTGGTCTGTGTTTATGAATCACCGGTCTTTATTTTCAAAATAACCAACTAAGATCTTCCCTCTTCTATCTTGATTTCCAACCTCCCTGGTTGATTCTTGGAACTAATCTCAGTACATGATACTGTTTTCTCTATCTCATTTTTCCAACACACACCCAAACCTTGGGCTCTAGAGAAATGCAGCTAATGCCAAGGTTCTGGAGAAGGCTGTGCTATCTAAATTTAAATAATCCCCCAAAGAAAGAAACTCACCATTTGTTAAATATGGTTCCATTTACCCATCGTCCTGCTTGATTTTCTGTCATCTCCAGCCCAATCCAATGATCAGAAGTGCATTTGTATCGCTTAAGAAATGCCTTTAGAGATGAAATAAATTTTATATATTTTTTAGTTTTTACTAGAACCTATTGTGTCCCCCTTGCTTTGCAGGTTGTGAGGAGCAAGGCAACAAATGCTCAACTCCTGCTTCACCAGAAAATAGCAACGGGGTTTTGAAAAAGCATTTTACCCTCTGACAATTAGTTTTCTTACTTGTAAACAAAGATGTGAGATAAGTTTTCTTTAAGATACTTTTTGATTCCAAATTGATAGATATTCTATATGCAAATCTATTCCTCCAGGATTTTAATACTGTAAACTCCCGGAAAGCCAGAGTTTTCAAATGACTTATTACACAGCCTTTCTAATCATTAGATACTTATTATAATGTTTTTCCACTTCCCAGTAAATACTAGTATGCTGATTTTAATGTTATATTTTACTTCAAATTCTCTCCCAAAAGGATCACATGGGCACGCACACAGACACACACCCTCCATATATCCAATTCCTTTAGAATTTAATTCTCAAATTTTATTTTTCTGCCCCCAAATTTCTACTTCTAAAGAGATCATTCAGGGGAAAAATATAATTTTATCTTCCTATTTCTCCTTCTCTCTTTATTCATTCAGTGTTGAAATTTCTTGCTGCCTTGGAGCCTTTTTAAGTATACAATTATATACAGAAAGTCATTGAGTCTATTATGCTACTAAATATCTGGGAAACCACAAACTTGACATTCTATCACTCCATGTTTCAATTTTATGATAAATATGAGGAATATAGTTCACAACATTATGGTCCATTCCTGTCTATAACAGTGACACTAATAATAACTTTGACATTTTAATGTACCATTTTCTGCAGCATTTCATAAATTTATTTGGAAAAAAATTTAACTCATCGAGCTAAGCTTCGGGTTTATAAAAGAAAAGATTAATCAAACACTGTCCCTGGATTCATAGGGTTTCATTTATAGTGAAGAAACTTATGTAAACATAGAGTTAGAAAATATCCTCCTGGATAAGGAGAAGAATGTGACTGTAATAAATCCAAAGTGAAATTTTAGTTTACAAGACAGAAGTATCTGAATCGTTATAAGGCACTTGCATATAGGATGTGCTCTAAGAGGTGTATCTGGAGGGGAAGAATAGAATATTCCATAATAAATACAGATGACAAGAAAGAAGAGGACAATTCATATTCTAGGCCTAGGAAAGAGCTTGCTTGAAGGCAGAAAAAAATGTGAGAAAGGATAAATGTATTGGCGACCAACAGTATATATGTTATTGGATAACTGGGAAAATTGGATGAGTTTCAGTAGTTGTGGTCTTAGTGACAGGGAACAGGGACATAAGTTTCCTAAAGCCTGTCCTAAGAAAAATGTTAATTATTATTTGCTCACTAAAAGAATACCCATGTGGCTTCTTGTTAAAGATGCAAAATAACTCTACATAAGTGGAAATAAATATGAAAACTATTTCATGAAACAAGCTATATCTCATTTTAACTAAGGAAAACATTTTGTAATTTAAGTAAACATATATAACACTTTAATTAAGCTGTTTTAAGTAAACAGTCCTTTAAAATTCTTCTATATATTATTTTTATCACTCCTTCACAGATAGCTTTACCTCATTTTGCTTGTCACTTAAATTTTGCCCAGATTATGTAGTAAATATAGGCATCTATGACTTCCAAAATATATCAGGAAATTGTAGGATCAAAGTCTCTTTTCTTGATTCAAAGAGTACAATCATTCTTAGCTGATATGTTTAATGACTTCTTTTAAGTTCAAAACTAATTATTTTGGTATGCTTTGATCTTTGTGTTCTATGATATTCACTATTTTTGTCAGCCTTTGCTGACAAGATTCCTATAAGTGAAGATTTTTAAAATATTTTGCCTTGTTAATTCTTTATCTCTCAAAAATTTTACTAGCACTCATTATTTTTCCATCTTGTTGCAAATTTAGACATTTTCCCCACAAGAGGAACTATAAAAGACAATTTAAGAATTTCTCAGAATGTTCACTGCAAAAGTCTTGCAAAATTTAGCAGTGAAACTACTGACTACATACAAATCTTCCTATTAACTCGAGTCTGCATCTTCCTTGTTGATTTGCTGTGTCTACTGTTCACATACCTAGTTTTTTGTTTTATTTGGATTTCTATACCTTTTGTTGCAACCAAAATTGTTGAGTTTTCTTGCACTATAAATTTTCCCTGTCCGGTTCACATCCATTTAAATTTGAGTCAATCTTCACGCAGATTACATAAATGTATTTTATTGACCACAGAATTAAGAGAATTCTCTTTTAACAATTTTAAATGCTGTGCTGTGCTGCTTAACATTTTAAACACTTAACTGCAAATTATTCAAGTTATCTTACCTCTTATATTGACCCCTTACCTAATTTTTTTATTTGAGTACAGATGATGTACAATATTACATTAGTTTCAGGTATACAACATAGTGATTCAACAAACTTATGCATTATGGTATACTCATCACGAGTGTAGTTACCATCTGTCACTATACAAAGCTATTATAATATCATTGACTGTATTCCCTATGCTGTGCCTTTTATTCCTGTGGCTTATTCTTTCCATAACTGGAAGCCTGTACCTCCCACACCCCTTCACCCATTTTGCCCATCCCATCACCGCTTTCCCTCTGGCAACCATCAGTTTGTTCTCTGTATTTCTAGGTCTAATTCTGCTTTTTGTTTGTTTATTCATTTGGTTTTTTTAGAGTCCACATATGAGTGAAATCATATCTTGACCCTTAACTTTTAAAGAGACTAAACAAGAGTAAAAATGTACGCTTATCACATAAGTGGTTCAGGGAAAGAACAGATTTCACAAGTGCAGAGGTATGTAGTTTCACAATCCTTTGTTAAAGTTCTAGGAGATTTCCTTTACTCATATAAGATTTTTGCCATGTAAATCAATATTTATTTTAAAAAGGGCCATTAAGCTTTTAATTTGTACCTGCCTTTATGGTATAGCAAATGTGGCAACTTCAAATAAATCATAGTGTGTCTTCAGTGGAAACTCATGCTTCAGTCTAAGACTTTCAGTAACATACCTATTCAATTACTGGTAGTGAGTGCTCTGATGGAGGCTCTTACGGGGACTCAGAGAGAGCAAAGCAGGGCTAAGTCAGAAGAAGTTTCCTCAAAGGGGGTAGATTGGAGAATCCCATCCTTCCTAAAACAGTTGTCTTTATGGAGTACTGACTTTTAAAAGGATTCCAAATATTATAAAGTTCCTCTATTTATACTCCTTAAAATACAAAGATAGCTGTCAAGTCTACTACTTGATATAAGTCTTACACTATTCAAACCAAACATCACCAAGTTTTTCAACTGCATCTCACATGGCATGTTCTAAAAATCTTCTGCATAGACAGATGTGTGAAAAATTTTTAAAAATCATATTACCATTTGAATATTCCCAATGCCCCTACTTAAGAAATTGCATAAGAATTGCATATCAAATTACCATTTCTTCCTCAGTGTCAATCATAGTTAGGTCAGCACGTTGAGTGACACAGTTGTGTCTACTTGAATTCCAATCCCCCTCTTCTTTAGAGAAATAATAGCATTTGTTTTGGAAACTAATCCAATCATCTGGGCAGGAATCCTGAGTACTCCTAAATGCTAAATGTGGAAATGAGACAAACACAATATATTAATGGCCAGATGAAATAATATGCCTCTGTATTTTGAGATCAATGGGGAAAGACAAGATTGTGATGTAAGATTTTGATCATAACCAGAATTGCATATCTATTATGCAACAAGTTGAAAGACAAATTGCATGTTAGGTTAAATGACAGCAGTTCAGGATTTGACAGGTTACTGATATTCCTTTCAACTCCAGCCTATGATACATCATCCTTCATAGGGCTACCAGTGTGATTTTACTTGTGTTAAGTCACCTGTATCACTTTTGGGTAAGTGAAATATAACAAAATCCTATCATTATCTGGGGGTAATAAAAATGCTAATTTATATTAGACTGTTATAATCTAGGACACATGTTTTAATTTCTAAGGAAGCAATTAAAAGAATAAAACAGAATATATAATTAACAATATGTGTGTTTGATTGCTTATTGTTAACTAGGTACCACTATCACTGTATGGCTCTGAGTTAGATGCTGAAAAGAACCCACATGAGATTTTGAAGGTAGAAGTAAAGCAGAAACGTTTATCCTGGGAGACCGAGGGCATAGGAACTTCACAGGCCTTTTAATGAGTTTGCCTTTGGTAGTCTTGGCAGCTAGATGTATTTTTAGACTTTCCTTTAATCTTTGGTTCTACAAACTCATTAGTGCTTTAAGCCAAAATCATTAGTGACTATTTCTCCTCCAGCTACACAGCTTTCCAGACCATCACTCCTCAACTACTTCCACAATGATGTTATTCCTAATTCCCATATTAAAATCCTATTCTTGTAACATTTTTCAGTGTCCATTTTCCTGAAGGCACCCAGAGTGAATCAGTTTTGGGTACCAAAAGTGGGTCTAAAGGAACAAAACTTTAAGGGTGAGATACGGTATTTATTGTCTACATGATTCACTTTAAAGGCATTGATTCAAACACCAGTCATAAATGGGATGCTGGTGATCTCTGGTATGTGAAGATAAAACAAATTATCACCTACAGTCATTTGATGCCAAGTACCTATAGAAGGTAAAACCTTTAACACCTTTTTCTTTTTTTTCAATTTTAATTCCAATTAGTTAACATACATTGTTATATAAGTTCAGGTGTACAATATAGTGATTCAACACTTCCATGTATCCCCCCATGCTTATCACAAGTGCACTTCTTAATCCTCATCACTTATTTAACCCATCCCCCACCTCCCTCCCCTCTGATAATCATCAGTTTGTTCTCTATAATCAAGAGTATGTTTCTTGATTTCTCTCTCTCTCTCTTTTTTCCCCTTTGCTTGTTTGTTGTTTCTTAAATTCCACATATGAGTGAAATCATATGGTATTTGTCTTTCTCTGACTGATTTCACTTAACATTATACTCTCTAGCTCCTACCTGAGATCATGTCCTGAGCCGAAACCAAGAGTTGGTTGCTCAGCTGACTGAGCCAGCCAAGTGCCCCTACAAGTAACCATTCTTAATGGAAAAATATTTAAAAACTTTCTCATGGATTTAAGAAAGAGATAAGGTTGCAACACTAACTACTTCTCTTCAACCTTGTACTGGAATTTCAATCCAGTAAAATAAGGCAATACACTGAAAGTTATAAAGATTTCAACAGAATAAATAAAAGCATTTCTATTTGCAGATAATCTGAATGCTTACATAAACTTCCAAATGAAGATTGGCAAGTTATTTAAATTAATAATTAACATAAAACTCACATTAACAAATTTAGAAGAAAAGAAATCATATGATGTCTGCTTTCAGATCACAATGGAATTAAACCAGAAGTCAATAACAGAAGATAGATGAAAGATTTCCCAAAACATGTAGATAAAACAACAAAGGTCTAAATAGCACATGGACCAAAGAAGAAATCTCAAGAGAAATTTTAAAATGTTTTGAACTGAAGAAAAATAAAAACACAATTTATCAAAACTTGTGGGATGTGGCAAAAGCAAAGTTTACAGGAAAATATATAGTATTGAAAGCATACTTTAGAAAAGAAAAAGATCTAAAATCAATCATCTAAGTTTTCATCTTAAAAACTAATAAGAGAAAACTAAACCTAACTAAACAGAGGAAAATAAATAATAAGGATTACAGCAAAAATAAATGAAATTGAAAGTATGAAATTAACAAAGAAAATCAACAAAATCAAAAGCTTGTTTTTTGATGAACAATCAAATCAGCTAGCTTCTACCCAGGTTAACTATGAAAAAAAAGAAAAGACTCAAATTAATAATATCAGAAATGAAAAAGAGGACATCACTACAGATCTTACAGAAATCAAAAGGATAATAAAGGAATACTATGAATAACTCAGTGACCGAAAATTTGATAAACTAGATGAAATGGACCAATTCTTTGAATAACACAATCTTCCAAAACTCAAATGAGAAGAAACAGACAATATGAATAGGGCTGTAGCTATTAAAGAAATTGAATGAATAATTAGTACTATCCCAAAACAGAAAGCACCAGGCCCAGATGGGTTCACTGGTGATTTCTACCAAACATTTAAGGAAGAAATTATACCAATTCTCTACAATCTTTTTCAGAGGAGAGAAGCAGATGGGATACTTCCTAACTCAATCTATGAGGCAAGCATTACCCTAATACCAAAACCAGACAAAGATATAAGAAAAGGAAACCACAGATCAGTATCTTTCATGAACATAGATATAAAAATCCTCAACAAAATATTAGCAAATTGAATCCAACAATATATAAAAAGAGTTATATACCATGACAAAGTGGGATTTATCTCATATCTGCAAGACTGGTTCAGCATTTGAAAATCAATTAATGTAATCTATTACATCAACAGGCTAAAAAGGAAAAATCACATGATTCATGATCCTATGAATTAAACACTTGACAAAAACCTAACATTCGTGACACAAACTCCCAGTAATCTAGGAATAGGGGGGAACTTCCCCAACTTGATAAAGACTATTTACAAAAATACCCTACAGTTAATATAATAATGGTGAGAAACTGGAGGCTTTCCCACTAGAATGAGCTTTCCCTTCTCACCATTACTTTTCATTATCAAATTAAAAGTTCTGTGTAATGCAATAATGCAAGAAAAGGAAGTCATAGGCATACATATTGGAAAGGGGAGATGTTCAGAGATGACATGATTGTTCTATAGAAAATCTGAAAAAAACTAAAACAAAACAAAACAAAACAATTCCTTTGTTCAGAGATGACATGATTGTTCTGTAGAAAATCTGAAAGAAGTAAAAAAAACCCAATTCCTTGAACTAATAAATAATCATGGCAAGGTTGGAGGATACAGGTTAACATGCAAAAGTCAATTGTTTTCCCATGTACCAGAAATAAAGAAGTGTAATTTGAAATTAAAAATAAAATATGATTTACATTAGAACCCCTCAAAATTGAATACTTATGTATAAATCTAATAAAATATATACTATATTATGTATATGAGGAAAAGTACAAAACTCTGATGAACAAAATCAAAGAAGAACTAGTTTTTAGAGAGACATTCTATGTTCATAATTAGGAAGACACAATACTGTCAACATGTTAGTTCCTTCCGGACTTGAGCTACAGATTTGATGAAATCCCAATCAAAATCTAGGCAGGTTATTTATAAATACCAATAAACTAATTCTAAGGTTTATATTGAGAAGGAAAAAGTACAGAATAGCCAACTTAATTTGGGAGAAGATAAAATTGGAGGACTGATACCACCCAACATCAAGACTTGCTATAAAGCTACAGTGATCTCTAAGACAGTGTAGTATCAATGAAAGAATAGACAAATAAATCGGTATAATAGAGAAGAAAGATCAGAAATAAACTCACATAAATGTAGTCACCTGAACTTGGGCAAAAGAGCAAAAATAATATAATGGAGCTAAGACAGTCTTTTCAACTAATGGTGCTAGAACAACTGGATATTCACATGCAAAAAAATGAATCCAAACACAGACTTTACATCCTTCACAAAAATTAACTCAAAACATATCAAAGATCTAAATGTGAACACAAAACTAAAAAATTTCTAGATTTCATAGAGGCAAACCTTAATGACCATGGATATGGTGACGACTTTTTAGATACAACACCAAAGTCACAACCCATGAAAGTAATAATTGATAAGCTGTACTTCATTAAAATTAACCACTTTTGCTCTGTGAAAAACAATGTCAAGCGAATGAGAAGACAAACCACACACTGGGAGAAAGTATTTACAAAAGACTCATCTGATGAAGGACTATTATTTAAACATATAAAGAACACTTAAAACTCAACAATGAGAAAAGAAACAACCTAATTAATAAATGAATAAATGGTCAAAAAGCCTGAACAGACACCTCAGCAATGAAGATATATAGATGGCAAATAAATATAGGAAAATATGCTCCACATCACAGGTCATCAGGAAAACGCCAATGTAAACAACAATGGGATACCACACACCTATTAGAATGGTCAAAATCCAGGACACTGACAATACCGAATGCTGGCGAGGATGTGGAGTAACAGGAACTTCCATTCATTGTCAGTGGGAATGCAAAACAGTACAGGCACTTTGAAATACAGTTTGGAGGTTTCTCACAAAACTAAACACATTCTTATCATACAATCCAGCAATTGTACTCCTTGGTATTTACCCAAAGGAGTTGAAAACTTCTGTCCACACAAAAACCTACATATGGTTGTTAATGCAGCTTTATTCATGATTGCCAAAACTTGGAAGCAATCAAGATGCTCTTCAGTAAGTGAATAGATAAATAAACTGTGATACATCAGACAATGGAATATTATTCAGTGCAAACAAACAAAAACCTCTCAAACCATAAGACACAAGGGACCCTTAGATATATATTACTAAGTGAAAAAAGCCAGTCTGAAAAGACTACATACTATATGATTCCAACTGTATGACATTCTGGAAAAGTCAAAACAAAGGAGGCAGTAAAAAGATTAGTGATTGCCAGTGGAGTTTGAGGAGAAATGAATACATGGGGCACAGAAGTCTTTTGGGACAGTGAAGATGCTCTGTAGGATAACATAATGAAGGGTACATGTCATTATACATTTTTCCAAATTCAGGATGCACAACACCAGGAATGAACTGTAAAGTAAACTGTGGACTTTTCAATAAATTGTTTCAGATCAGAAGACTATATGAATGAAGAAAAATACATTTGACATTATACCCAAACACTTACAACAATCAATTTCAAAAGCGTTATAGTTCTGGATGTGAAATTAGTAAAAATATAATAAGTGTTACAATGGAAACTCTAGAGTAATATCTTCATGCATGTGGAGTACAGTAAATTTCTTAAACAGGATGTAAAACATAGTAAAAATAGAGAAAAAAATTAAAAAAATTAAAACTACCTAAAAATTAAGAACTTCCCTTTATTGAAAGACATCATACAAAAAATAAATGTAAGCTTCATAAAAATTTTTTACTATACTTATATTTACATAGTAGAAGATATTTACAATAGAAATACAAAACAAAAAACAAAGAGCTAACTCAATAAAAATATGGACCAAGTATTTGAATATACCCATCACAAAATACTGTGACTAAACTACAAATACAACAAGGAGCTTAACAGTATTGGTCATCAGGAAAATGTCAACTAAAGTCACAATAAGGTATTAACACACACTCATCAGAATAGCTAAAATAGGTAAAACTGACAACAAAGTGTTGACCAGTATGTCATAAACTTTGGGCTGGATTATCTACAATCTACGGAATTATTTACTAACGCTGACCTATACATACTCCATGGTTTACTAATTCTTCTCATAAGTATATTGCAAACAATACCCACTATTCGCTAAAAGTCTAAAAGTATGAGGATGTTCAAATCAGCATAATCTGCAGTAGTCAAAATGTGTCCAAATGTCCATCAAAAGTAGAGTGTTTAATAAATTAATATATAGCATGAGATACTCTATAGCGAGGATCTGAAAACTACAACCTGAGGCCAAAAATCAGAGCTAAAAATATTTTTACATTTTAAAAATAATCGACACAATAATAAATAATAGAAAATCAAAACAATTAAGAGAGGAGTAATATTTTGTGACACATGAAAATTATACAATATTCAAATTTCCATGTTTAATTTTAGTGAAACACAGCAAGGTCAATTGTTTATATACCATGTGTGGCTCTATTTTCACTACAAATGCAGAGTGGGGTACTTGCAACACAGATTGTATGGCTGACAAAGCCAAATTTATTTACTATCTGGCTCTTTGCCTGAAGCTTTTCCAACTCCCTTCAACAATGAGTCAATGAACTTTTGCTACATGCTATGATGTGGAAGAATCATACAAACATGATATGGAACAAAGAAAACAAGATGCAAAGAATACATAAAATTGTATGATCTTACTTATGGAAAAAATTTTTAAATGGGCAAAACTAACCTATGTAACAGAAATCAAAGAAGTGATTGCCACTGGTATGGGAATGTTGAGTGGAATGGGAAATTATCAGGGTGAATGATTTTTTCTTAATCATTTTTGCATCTCCCAATGCTTTACATAGGTCATGTAATTCATTATAAACCATTCATTGATACTCATTAAATCACGAATAATGGGAAAAGAGTAAGAATAATGAGAAAAAATCATGATTGAGGCAGAAAAGAAAATGATCATTTAAAAGAGAAAAAATAAGTAAAGAAATAAAAAATGTAATTTACTCACCTAATAAAATAATTAGAATAATATTAATAATTAAAGATGCAAATGTAACACACCCGCAAGTTGTCATCTTACACTTGTCCTTTACACCTGAAAAAAAATTAAATTTAGAAACAGGTAAAAGACTAAATTTGCATTCATAACCATAACTAACAAACTTCTTTTGGCAATTTATTCCGATATTTCATAAGATAACACAAACATATTATTTGTTTGATATATGGAAAATATACCAACCCCTATTTTTTTTGAAATCTCTCAGTTCATCTTTACATTCAATCAAGTGTTACCATTGATTTTACTGTCATAGTCCAAGGAATCAAATATATATAATTCTTTAGGGTAGAATTTCTTAAGACCTGGAGCTACCCCCCAGGCCTTCAGTATCCTTTTTCTATGGTACAATATCAGTACATCCTAACACTCCTTGAATATTTTTAAGAAAATCTACTTTCTAACTAATGAAAAGTTTATTTTAAAGGATAGATAGTATAGCATATTTAAAAGTTCATAAGTAATCAGTCCAAAGATTTGGAATTGAGATTTTTTGCTACAAACGAGCAAAGGAATTTGAACAAGACACTTTTTTTTTTTTCCTGGTCTGGAATTATTAGTGTCCATGTGGGGAAAAAAAATGGTACATAAGTTTTTTTGAAATAAAACTTTTTTGTTATTTTATGTGATTATAAACATCCTTAATGTAAAATTTTATGAAATTTTAAATGTTATAGGAGGTACTTTAAGATAGATGATAAACTTATTGAGGGCATTTACCATTCCTATCTTCTTCCTAGTGAAGAGCTATTCTTTTGTTGAATAAACATTTTTCTTTTGTGGATGTATGAAAGATATTAAATTTAAAACACATCTAAGGGGCACCTGGGTGGCTCAGTCATTAAACAGCTGCATTTGGCTCAGGTCATGATCCCAGGGTGGCTCCCTGCTCAGTGTGGAGCCTGCTTCTCCTTCTGACTCTTCCTGCTGCTTCCCCTGCCTGTGCTCTCTCTCTCTCCATCAAATAAATAAATAAAATCTTAAAAAAATAAAACACATCTAAATTTCTACTACTTAGACATAACCAGCATTAGCATGTGGGTTAACATCCTTCCATCCATATATCTCTCTAATCCTATTTTCACACATATAACCTCCACCACAAATACACATGATTTTAAATGAGTACAATCATCATGGACCCACTGTTTTATATTCTTATGTTTTCAGTTAACAGTTTGTTCTTGTGTGTGGTTGACTGTTAAGAATGGCCCCCAATGAAACCCTCCTTCACTGTTGGTGGGAATGCAAGCTAGTGCAACCACTTTGGAAAACAGTATGGAGGTTCCTCAAACAGTTGAAAATAGAGCCACCATACGATCCAGCAATTGCACTACTGGGTATTTACCCCAAAGATACAAATGTAGGGACCCGAAGGGGTACGTGCACCCAATGTTTATAGCAGCAATGTCCACAATAGCCAAACTGTGGAAAGAGCCAAGATGGCCATCGACAGATGAACGGATAAAGAAGATGTGGTATATATACACAATGGAATATTATGCAGCCATCAAAAGGAATGAGATCTTGCCATTTGCAATGACGTGGGTGGAACTGGAGGGTGTTATGCTCAGTGAAGTAAGTCAATCAGAGAAAGACATGTATCCTATGACCTCACTGATATGAGGAATTCTTAATCTCAGGAAACAAATTGAGTGTTGCTGGAGTGGTGGGGGGTGGGAGGGATGGGGTGGCTGGGTGATAGACATTGGGGAAGGTATGTGCTATGGTGAGCGCTGTGAATTGTGCAAGACTGTTGAATCACGGATCTGTACTTCTGAAACAAATAATGCAACATATGTTAAGAAAAAAGAAGAAGAAGAAGATAGCAGGAGGGGAAGAATGAAGGGGAGTAAGTCGGAGGGGGAGACGAACCATGAGAGACGATGGACTCTGAAAAACAAACTGAGGGTTCTAGAGGGGAGGAGCGTAGGGGGATGGGTTAGCCTGGTGATGGATATTAAAGAGGGCACATTCTGCGTGGAGCACTGGGTGTTATGCCCAAACAATGAATCATGGAACACTACATCAAAAACTAATGATGTAATGTATGGTGATTAACATAACAATAAAAAAGAATGGCCCCCAATGAATCACGCCCCCCTGTGTCCAGCACCCCTTTGGCACATGATCCTGCTTCTCCTTCCATCAAGAGATCTACTGTATTCCCCACCACCTGAATATGAATCACCTTGTGCCTTGCTTTAAGCAATAGACTGGTAAAAGTGACCTGGGTGGCTCAGTCATTAAGCGTCTGCCTTCAGCTCAGGTCATGATCCCAGGGTCCTGGGATAGAGCCCCACATCGGGCTCCCTGCTCCGCGGGAAGCCTGCTTCTCCTTCTCCCACTCTCTCTGCTTGTGTTCCCTCTCTCGCTATGTCTCTTTCTGTTGGGTAAATAAATAAAATCTTAAAAAAAAAAAGTGACACTGAAACTTTAGAGCCCAAGTCTTAAGAGACCTTGTAATTCCTACTTTCACTGTTCTGGAGCCCAACATAACAGAGGAGACAAGAGCCATTCCTCCTGAATCTGTCCTTATCCCTAAACCTTAGAACCACAAGCAATACGATTGTTGTTTTAAGCCACTAAAAGTTGGAGGTGCAACACCTGGATTTATACATCATGTTAAAGAATAATTTGACAATATAAATTTAATGACTGATAATACTTTTATGTAGCTATACTGTTTTAAAAAAATCCTTTTCTGATGGGCATTTAGGCTCTCTCACCCTTTTTAGTTTTAACCAGAATTAGAACTATAGTTTAAATGTCTTGCACGCTTGTCTAATTATCCTGTTAAGAAAAAATTTTCAAAGATAAATAAATTGGCATATACTGATTAGGTGTTCTTCCAAAAGTATGGAGCTATCTACACTATCATGCATAACATATGAAAATATTGGTACTTATAAAAATTCATAATAAAGTAATTTTTAAGAAGTACCATAAGGAGGGAGAGGGAATGCAGCAAAGAGAAAACTAGCATTGCTTTTGAGCCACCAGACTGTTATTATTTCAACTATGTGAGAAATATAATTAGGAATTATGTCTAACCTGTCTGTTTCTGCCAAATTTCTGAAAAGTCCTGTCATTAGTTGTGCATTTCTTCTGACCACCTGGAATTTCAAAGCTACATAATAAGCATCAACTGCAATGCTTCACTTGTGTACCAGCGTTGTTTCTTTGTTCATTCTTTGACAAATATTTACTGATCACCTACTATGTGGTAGTTTCCATAAATATAATAATAAACAAAATGACATAATCTATGCTCTCCTAGAATTTGGATTTGGTGGAAAAGACATAGTCAACTGAAAAAAAAATTAAAAATTACAGATTGCAACAAGAGCTGGAAGGCAATAAGCAGGGTGATAGGTAAAGGGAAAATGACCAGAAAAGATAGTGTGTGGGGGAGGGTAGAATTCTGTGGAAGCGACATTAAAACCAAAACATAAAATATGAGCAGTGGCCATTTATGTGAAATAAACCAGAGAAAGCATTTTAAGCAAAGAGAACAGCAAGTTCAAGTGCCTTAAATCAGGAAAGAATTGAAAAGAATGTGGCCCAAGTAGAACAAGTTTGATAAGGTCCGAAGTAGCATGGAATAGTGACTAGTTAGGAGCAAAATGATGCTAAGCTTTGAAGGCCCTGGGAAAGAACTTGACATTCTTCAAAGTATAATGGAAGCCACTGAATTGTTTTAGGTGGATGTTTGGCACTGCTACATTTATGCTTTTAAAAGTTCCCTGTGATTGGGGCACCTGGGTGGCTCAGTTGTTAAGCTTCTGCCTTCAGCTCAGGTCATGGTCCCAGGGTCCTGGGATCGAACCCCGCATCGGGCTCCCTGCTCGGCGGGAAGCCTGCTTCTCCCTCTCCCACTTCCCCTGCTTGTGTTGCCTCTCTCGCTGTGTCTCTCGCTGTCAAATAAATAAATAAAATCTTCAAAAAAAAAAAAAGTTCCCTGTGACTAGTGAGTGGAGAGACTATTTAGGGAGTTATAACTCTAATCAATCGAATTATGGGGATCTCGTAAACAAGGGTGGTAGCAGTGGAGGTAGAAAAATCAAATGGAGCACTTGGAGGCCACTGATATCCTTGATAGAATGGTTTCAGAGTCAGACAGAATAAGGGCATATTGCTGGAAGTAAGGAAGTAAAATCAGCATGTAGACTCAGAGAACGTGTGCTGTGTGTATGAGAGCAAGAAAAGAAGTAGTTAGTTAGAATGAAATGGGTGATTATTATAGGGTTTTTTTTTTAAGATATAACACACAATGTTTCTTTTATGAATTTGGGGATGATTTAATATGGAAGGGATAGATTGCTAATGCAGGCAAGAAAGGGAGGGAATAATTAAATTAAGAAGACGAATTCTTGCACAGGCTACAGGGGTTGTGGTCTGAAGTACAAATGGAGGGGGTATTCCTAGGTAAGAGAAATGACCCTCCCTCAAATGTACCAAAGACATAAAGAGGAGAAACAAAACATACACCTGTGTTTTCAACCTTTTATTTCTGTATATGCCTCAGTTCCAAACTGTAGTCCAGGCTCTGTCTAATGGGGTTTTAATCACCTTTCAAGTGTCACCTTCTTAATTTCTCTAATTCCCTATTAGTTTTCTTCAAATATCAGGCATCAAGAAAACAAGTATTTTCCTCCTTTTTCTATATCATCAGTCAAGGCAATGTGTCAATACATGCATAGAGCACCAGACTCAATAGGATGCCTGTGCCATGACTGTGGCGAAGAAACAGCATGGCTTTTGTTGTACGTGTAGCACAGAAATAGCGGGACTAGAACCAAAAGGCTAATTCATGTTGGGGCATATCTTTTCACAAATAATCAGAGAAAAGAGATGACTGAAGACTCTCTCGATGCTTCGATGCCACAATAAGGCTAGGAAACGTCATATAACCCAGAAGAATCCTCCGCCCCCACACTCTCAATACCACCAAACAGCATAGATTAAATGTCCTGTCAGTTCAGTGGGATGGGGCTTCGAGGGACTTTTAGTTTGATATAGGACACTATTGAATCGGACATTTACTGCACTTCTGATATGCAGATACATATTTAAGCACGCTACATGTTCATTCTCTAATCTGTCCTGAGCCCTAAAATCTACTTTTCTACATTCAATATAAATGGCTTTCATTTTATAAGTTCCTTCTCTTTATCCTTATACTAAATGATCAATACCTGTACCTGCACAAATTATCGAAAAAACAAAAAGAACAGGAAATGTTGGTTTCCCACTGTGAATTTAGTAGTGACAGATGAACTTCAAAGAAGTTGCTCAGCCCTTATAATGTGTTCAACAAAGGAAAGTAAAAACAGATAATATCCCCGGGCAGCTCAATAAAAACCTATTAATAATGTAACTAAAATAGTTCTAAACTCACTCCAATCATAATCTACACAGTTAAGGATTCCAATTACTTTCCCCATAGAGCTGACTCAAGTAATTTCTCTCCGTTTCTGGAGCTGATCTCCTCCGTGCTCGATTCCACAGCATATATTCTAAAATTGACAATGATCTCCAAGTAGAGATAAGAAGAAAAATCCAGGGTGACCAGTGAATTTAAAACTAAATAAAATACACTTTTTCTTAGCTGACAGCTATGGGAAAAAATTAACAAATTACTAATAAGAGAGAATAATATAAAAGAAAATATTAAAAGATAAATTATATCATGCACTAAATTAACTATTACAATGGTGTTTATAAGTTCAAATTACATATCTATGTATGCTATATCTAATATACATATACATAATATTACTTAGTAAATTACAGACTATATTTGTAATATATATCATTTATTCATACATAAAATATATAAATTCATATTGATGATTGATATTTAGGGTAGAAATTAACATTGATTTTATGAGTGGCTAGAAAGCATTCTTAAAATTTTTGGTTCTGATATTTTCATATTATCACCTAATATTTGATCCCATTGTCCCCAACCCTCTTTGATCTAACCTTAGACAGAATTATCAAAAAAAATGAGGAATAAGTATTTATGCATTCTAATATGAACTGCAGTAACAATAACTTTTGACATTTGCATGCACTAGTAGACTGAAAAGAAATTAAATGGCAAATACTTAAAACCAACCAGAGTCCCTAAATTGATTATTGTATTTAATGGATTTTAGCCTCTCTTATTTACCATATTTTGACTATGAAGACCCCTGCTGAAATACCTTTGAAAGATTTTTCTGCTAGATTTCAAGTTTGGATCTTACATATTCTGAACTTGCTAGTTAGTATGTCCAAAGCTACCGAGTTATTTTCTAGTTTCTCGTTTTAGTTTTAAAGTGAATTTTCTTTTCTTATCTTTCTTAAGGTTGCCAGAGACATCTTCAAGGACATCAGAGTACTAGTGATTGTTTAGATTAGAGGAGGAGAGGGAGATAATCTTTCTGTTATTAAGTACCCAAAAGTCTGGCTTATTGTGACTCCACTCACTGTCCACAAACAATCTTTTAAGACATTAGAAATATTGGCCAAATTTTTCATATTGTGGCTGTATTCTGGGCCTTGAAGGAGTATGCAGATCAAATTTAACATTTTCTCCAGTATTTAGTTTTATTAAATACTTAGTAAAAATGAAATTAAATCTCGAATAATTTTAAACTGTGGTTAATCCCTCCCCACTATCAGTTAAAATAATCTCCATTCATAAGACAAAATAGCCAATTACAAATCTGAATTTTCATTGTCACAATTTTCATTTTATGGAGATGTTAACTCAAAGAAGGATTTTTCTGCCTTGATGAAAAAAACAACAAAACCCATCCCATACCTTAGAAGGCTTTTAACATAATGGCATAATTTCTATCTATAACTTTCATTCTGAACAACTGTGAATGTCCTTACCTTGTTTCTTTTCATTGGTTCCTTGATTCCTGTGATCAGTCTGGGTGGCTATCTGGGGGCTTTGTGTCATCTCTTCCAAAACCTCTCTTCAAAATTTTAAATTGAATGTAAAAATGTTATTAGGATCTTCAATAGAAGCTCCAAACTAGAATTATTCTACTTTAGAAAAGCAAGGCAATGTTAAGCAGTATTTCTCAAAATGAAAGTAACAGTGTTTCTGATAGAGTCAAATATTGTCTAAACACAATTTCTTCCTGTAAAACGAAAGAAAAAACCACCATTTGCTGAAGAAAGAGGAAGTTCACTAAAATGTAAAAAAGTAACAAGTTCATAGATTCCTATTTTCTCGATAGAGGATACCCATCGAACAAAAAAAATATTCAAGAGGCTATTTTTTCTATTGTTTCAAGAATATTACATAACTGGTGTCCTTCCAGGGTCATAGAAGATAAGAATATTAATTAATTAAAAGACATGATTTAAGATATGTGTTTAGACATGTGCCCAGGCACAACAATCTTATGTTTAGAAAGACAAACTTAAAGGTGATGAAATCAAAGATTAGAAAGCTATGTTTCAAGCTGGCTACTGAAGCAAGAACAAAAACAATTTTCTCTCTTTCTTGGACGCTATCATGGCCCTATGCACACCTACACACCCCTAACAAACAGAAAGCAGAAAGAGGAAAAGGAAAATAAAGTTAAAAGGTACTCAGAATATTATCATCAATATTCAAGATGGTAATGCTTTTAGGCTAGAGTTAGATTATTAGGAAGCAATTTTCTTTTCAAATCTGTACTCATCAGAATTTGCAAATGATTTCATATTCTCTTTCAATAAATACATTAAAAATCTAGAGAGGCAGCTGACGTCCTACAAGCTGCTTCAGGATTAACACCATATTTGTTCTGACAGGGACACTGTGAAGGGAAAAAGAAATGAGAATGGAGAGGAAAGTAGAAGACAAAGAAATGAAAAGAAAAAAAATGTGAAGAGAATAATCCCATTTAATATAGGATTAAACTCTCCTAGATGGCCTTGAATATATAGCTCTGGTCACTACTATCATCACTCAAAACAAAATTATGCAAGATAAAATGCAGATAACAAAATCGTTCCTTCCATTTTGGGACAGAAAGAAGACTAAAAGTTTGGGGAGAAATGAACATTTCTACCTATGTTATCACCAAAATATTCTATCCATAGAACTATTAGAAATGCATATATAGGAGAATATAGGGATTGCGCTATCATAGTTGAGAGAAATTTAGTTTTGTTCCTAAGGAGACGCAATTAAGATATGCAATTTCACTCAAAATATACAACATTTCCTTCAGTTCAAAGTGTTTGCTGATGTACCTTTGCAGTTCATCCCAGGAACCAGGCAGCCACTAATCTACTATCAACAGAGATGAGTTTTGGTGGTTTTAGAATTTTCTATAAATGGAGTCATGCACCCTTGTGAGTCTGGATCTTTTGCACAGTAAAATGTTTTGGAGTTTCATCCAGATTGTGGCATAGACCAGCAGTTCATTCCTTTTCATTGCCAAGCAGAATCTTATTCTGTGAATATATAATAATTTGCTTATCCATTACCCCATTTGGTTGTTAACACTTGTTGACTATCAGAAATAAAATCACATCAATATTTCTGTTAGTCTTTCTGTGGGACAATTATTTTCTAATCTTTTGAGGAAAGGCCTAGTAGTGGAATTGCTAGGTCATATAGAAAATATGTTTGTATTTTTTTGTGATAAGAACACTCAACATGTGATCTGGGAGGTGATGGATATGTCTATTATCTCGATTGTGGTAATGGTACCGTGGGTGTTTGCATATGTCCAAACTCATCAAACTGTACACATTAAATACGTTCAGTTTTTTTGTATATCAATTATACCTCAATAAAGCTGTTTTTTTAAAAAGAAAATGTATGTTTAATTTTATAAACATAAAATATCTTCCAAGGAGGTTGTACCATTCCCTCTATTAAAAAGTAGGACAGTTGCAGTTCCTCCACATCAACAGCAGCATCTGATATGGTCAGTCTTTTTAATTTTCACCATTCCAGTAGGTATGTGGGGGTATCTAAATGTAGTTTTAATTTCTGATAATCTGTTGAGCATTTTCTCATGTGCTTATGGCAATTAATATATATATATTTTTTTAAAGATTTTATTTATTTGAGAGAGAAAGGTAAAGCATGAGGGGGGGAGGGGGAGCGGGAGAAGCAGACTCCCTGCTGAGCAGGGAGCCCGATGCGGGACTCCATCCTGGGACTCCGGGATTATGACCTGAGCCAAAGGCAGTCGCTTAGCGGACTGAGCCACCTGGGTGCCCTATATCTTTTTTGCTAAAGATTTTATTTATTTATTTGTCAGAGAGAGAGAGCACACAAGCAGGGAGAGCGGCAGGCAGAGGGAGAAGTAAGCTCCCCCCCACCACCATTGAGCAGGAAGCCAGCTGCAGGACTGGATCCCAGGACCCTGGGATCATGACCTGAGCCAAAGGCAGACACTTAACTCACTGAACCACCCAGGCATCCCAAAATATTTTTTTTGGTGAACTCTCTATTCAGATATTTTGCCAATCTTTATAGGATGATTTGTCTTCTTTTTAATGGGTTGTAAGATATGTGTATGTGTATATATATATATATATATATATACACATACACATATTTATTATAAGATATGTTGTTATGTTTATGTGTGTCTTGCAAATTAAAAAGAAGGCAAATCATCCTATAAAAACATATGTAATGAGTTGTAAACTAATATATAAACAATATGGAAACAATTCCTTTGTCAGATACCTGTATTACAAATACTTTCCACCATTTGTAGAGTGTCTTTTCATAAAAGCTTTCTCAAAAACCTCAAAAATCTAGAACTGTCTAAATGTTGAGCTATCTAAACCTTTGAAAGTAGCATATTCTCCATTGTTAAAGTCTAAAGTTTATCCTTGCTTAAAGATGATGCTGAATCCTCTGCCATCAAAGAAATTACACACTCTCCTTATGATTATCCCTTCCTTCCCCTCCTGATCATAAAGCCAATAACTAAGATGAGCTGTTAACCTTGACACTCAGGAGAAATTCAGACCTGACCAATATTTAATGGCAACCTAGAGAGTACACAATGTGATTAGATTCCAGAGGCGTTAGATCAAGAGAGAAACACAAAGCTGGATAAGGGAGATTTTATCAACACTGGAGTACTCTCTTAAAGCATAAAATTTAATAACTTGGCAAGATGTTGTGAGAGGGTGTTGATAAACTGCTAAAACAACTCCAAGAAGATTGAAGAAAGTAATAGCCCATGTTAAACAGAGTACAATGCCAGAATTGCTGTGGGAGATTGTTAAAGAGAAGATAAAAATACAAAAATACAGCAGTTGGCATTCTGCAGTGGGTATACTCTATATGGACAGAAAATCCACCAAGCGTTCTATGGGATGGTATGACAGGCACGCGTTATATGCAAACAATGAATCATGGAACACTACATCAAAAACTAATACCGTACTGTAGGGTGACTAACATAATAATGAAAAAATAAAGCAATAAAGTATACACTGGCAGAAGAACATAAGTATCACTGAGAAGCTTACTGCAGATTTCCTCTCTAGACCAAGGGTTACAATAGGAGATGTCTTCACAGAATTGGATTTACAGATAACATTGAGACTGATAGGATCTTGGAGTAGTAGAAGTCAAATGGCACAGCTCAACTCTGAAACAAGGTTGACAAATATTGTAATGAAGGTTGAGTTTGGAGTAGCATCTAGATTCCTGACAAAGAGAAAGTTATAAAAATGTTAAATGTCTCTGAGGGTAAGACAGATAGATAGCTAAGAGGGTATTTTTACTTATGCATTAGTCTTTAACCTGGTGCTACAGAGAAAAAAAAATAACAACCCAAACCCTAGTTTGCATAATTGCTGATTCCTGTGATGTAATTACTCCCACCATAGCTGATTTCAAGCTACCAATGTGATATCACTAAATGCCAGAGTTGAAAAGAGATGTGTAGTAGTGTATGGTTATATAGTAGTAGTGCATGGTTATATAGTATTTCTATTATTCAGATATAGTGGATGTAAAAAAACTTCACGTGTAGATAATGGTAAAATATAGTAAAAAATAACCAGAAACTGACTTATGCTAAGTATTTATTACTTTTGTTTTTAATATAATTTATTTAATTTTAGGTTTAAATAATAGTAATTTTTATAATAATTATATTCAATGATTGGCTCACGAAGTCCTGAAAATTTAATAGATTTTTGCATGCATACCACTGGGTTTTTCTCAAAAGCTACAATAGAAATAAATCAAAAATGGATGATCAGTAAGCTAAGGAAAACCATCCCCCCAAAGTTATAAATTATTACCTCATCTTACTTCCACCTGAGCCAGTTTTCTGACTCAGGACCCAATTATTAAAGAGAAAAGCAAGTCCTCAGAAAGAAGACCACATGGCTAGCATAAATCAAAGTGATTCCTTCAATCCAATCCCAAAGGCACATATATTAGTCTTCTCAGGCTGCCATTTCAAAATAGCACTGGCTGGGTGACTTAAATAGTAGAAATTAATTTTCTCACGGTTTTGGAGTCTGGAGGTGCAAGAAAGTTCCAGACAACTGATGCCTGGTGAAACCTCTCTTTCTCACTTGTAGATGGCTGTCTTTTCACTGTTTCCTCGTATTACTTTTTGTCTGGATGCATGGACTGACAGAGAACTCACTGGTGTCTCATCCCTTCTTACAAGGACATCAGTCATATCAGATTAAGCCTCAACCCTTATGTCCTCATTTACCCTAATTATTTCCTTAAAGGCCCTAACTCCAAATACAGGACAATGGGGGTTAGAGCTTCAATAGATGAATCTGGAAAGCCAAAATTTAGTTCATAATATTCCATCCTCTGGCCCTTCAAATAGCATATCCTTCTTGCATGTTAAATATATTCACCCCATCCCAGTAGCCTCAAGTCTTAACCTATCCAGCATCAATTCCAACTCCAAAGTCTTATCGAAATTATGTCTGGTGAACCTTCAAGTATGATTCACCTTGAGGCAAAATTCATCTCTAGCTGTGAAACTGAAACCAGACAAATTATGTACTTACAAGATACAATGGTGGGATCAGCTCAGATAGACATTCTTATTCCAAAAGGGAGAAATCAGAAAGAATAAAGGAATGATAGGCTCCAAGCCAGTCCAAAACTTAGGAAAATTCC